CTGCCTCCGAAACCAGGTGAGTGACCCTGTGCACTGCTACATTTAGGTGGAAAATGACATTTATGATTATAAACGGAGTTTAAAAGAAAAAAAAAATTTTAGAAATTGTGCCAGAATCACTAACCAGTCTTTAAAGAGCAAGTGTGCCTGTCCAGTGTCATTCTGAAATATTTTATCTAATGAGTATAAAAATCACTATTGAGAGAGGGAGAGAGAGAATTCCAAGCAGGCTCTGCTGTCAGTGCAGAGCCTGACACGGGGCTCGATCCCATGAACCAGGAGATCATGACCTGAGCAGAAGTCCAGAATTGGACGACGCCCAACCAGCTGAGCCCACCTCATTTTCATTTTATAACCGTTCCCATAAAAATACCAGTAGACTGCATGATGGATTGTTTTGCCAGATTTGATCAGTCTTTGTTCTGATCTTTGTCAGCAGTTACAACACCAGCATCACCTTCTAGTAGTCAGCTGTGCCGTTATTTCCCTGCTTGTAAGAAAATGGAATGTCCCTTCTATCATCCAAAAGTAAGAATTTTCATTTTCCCAAAAATGATTTAGTGATAACCTCTAATTCTGAGACCTAGAAGATCAGTAGCAAATTGACTGCCTTGTGTATCCGTGGTTCCCCACCCACACCCCCTGGAGCCTCATTTTTGTTAGTTCTTTCTTAGGTATTGGGGGAGCCCCTGTCTGGCTCCTTAGGACAAGTGGTCTGAAACAAGTGTTAGTATTGTAAGCTCTCAGACTAAAGCTCCCCTTTGCTTAGTTTCCATTAGGGGGTAGGTTTTTTCTCTCTGTCGTCATGGTCTCCCCCCGACCCCCACGAGAAACGGTGATGATGAAATCTCGTAGTACTGCTTCATACCATCCAGACTTGTCCCGACGGTTCTCACTTTCTGTATACTAACGATTGATGTAGCTCCAGCTGTTTAGTTGCTCTCAGTAAATGATCTCTCCGAAATCGAAGCCTGAAGGCCATTATGAAAGACCTTCACTTCTCCCAAGTCGGTTTGGGCAAAAATGAAGGTGTCCAGAGAAGGATGGATATATAAGGGATGTTGGGTCAGATGTGCAGGGTGATTACAAGTTTTTATCATATGCCGAATAACACGGTTATTCTTTAACTAGGATTTTGTGTCAGGCGGCCTCATTTTTCCAGGTTTCAGTATTAAAATACGGTTAGATTATCTCTTTCCCCATTAAAAGTTTCTCTCAAATTGCCTGGTTTTTATTTGTATTAGCTTTGCAAATGCTGAAACTCTATTGTCTGTATTTAGCACTGCAGATTTAACACTCAGTGTACCAGACCCGACTGCACTTTTTATCATCCCACCATTACTGTACCACCGCGACATGCCTTGAAATGGATTCGACCCCAAACCAGGTACATTAGATGTATACAGATTTGAGGCAAATGGTCACTTTTTTCCTCTGCTGTTTAATTATACAGGGTCTTTTGGAGATTTTGTTTTACCAGTGGTTGCTTATTCACCTAGGTAATCTCCAGATCAGATTTCCCTTCTGAATGTATACGGTTACATATGAATTTTCTTAGCATTAGTAATCCGTTTCAAAAAGTCTTAGTGTGGCCTGTAAATTTAAATACATGTCATCATTACCTTATATAATTGTGTATAAGAAAACCAAACCTGATCCTCATATTGTAAATCTGTAGAACAGATATTGTGTGAAAATATTCATCTTTTTAACTAGAGATACATATATATGGATGTAAAGCCATTAATTAAAAAATTTTTTGTTTATTCAGTGAATGACACTCAGTCCTACTTGGCAGAAGATTGTGGAGTTTGAAAGTTTCCACCTACTGATGAAAGATAATCTGCAGAACTTGTCAAATCTTTGAAACTTGGAATATATATTGATTTCATAATATGAAGTTTATTGCCTATCTGAAGTGTCTAATTTTTCTAGTTTGTAAGTTTATTAAGTGGTTTTAACATTGGGTGTTTTGTTTGTTTCGACTATGAAAAGACCGTTTAAAGCTAAATTCCATTAAAACATCTGAGGTGTGTTTGTACACTGCTATTTTCAGTATCAACATTTACAGCGTGGTGATCTTGTCAGTACTGATAAAATCCACTTCGGGGCTATGGTGTTGGTGTGTGTTTAGTGAGAAGAGCATCCTTACTCTAAATTTTCCCAAGGATTATCCATTGTGAAAACAAGTGGCCAAAAGTGTGGAGGCAGCTTAACATAGTCATTCAGTTCTGCCTGCTTTTTAACTGTAAGTGAATTTAGTTTGAAAAGCGTGGTAATACAGGCTTCTTGGGTTGAGTGACACTGTGGTAAAATGGTTCTCAAATAGCTAGTCCCTTACCTTCTGGGATAGGATGTGTCCGGGAAAGACAGCTGGAATGGCAAGTGCGAAACAATAGCAACAGTTCCTTAAAATGCTTTACTATTAACATATACTTTTTAAATAAATATTTTGGGAATGCATTATCACAAAATTATACAAATTTTTTTATAGTTCTATATACAGAAGTTATCAGAAAACAGACTTCAAACTCACAAGATAATATATTCTCACATTCTGAAAAATATTTCCAGAAAGAACTGCACAGAAAAAAATTTTAATGTAAAAATTAGATTTAAATAGTATATTTTAAATGACTAATTACAGAAATCAGATGGGTAAACTGCAAAATAGGACTAAACTTTTGGAACTATTGAATCAACACAGTTTTCTGTGTGTGGTTTTTAAAATAGTTAAGGCAAGAAGTGTCAGATGCTTTAGAATTAAATAACGGATCACTGATTTTAAAGACTCGATGTATAGCAGTTTAAAAAAAAAGCAGCTAAAAGCTGGTTACAACAGAGCTAACTAATGCAAAAAAGATAAAGACCCAAATAGTCTCAGGACCGAACTGAAAACAAAAAGTTCATTAGTTATATACCCAAGGAATAACAGAACAGCATGTGTAAAAGTCCATGTTTAAGAGCATCAAACCGACAGTCTATTTTGTGGCCATTGCTTTTCCATGGGGAGAAGAAAGAATTAACCAGTTATTAAACCATTTGGTGAGTAAAGACAGAGCACAGGGCCCTCACGTCGTTAGGCTGGGGTGAAATGACCATTCTGCTTCATTCTAAAAAGTTGACTCCTTTGAACTTAAGGCATTTGTCATTCCAGTGCTACTTTAAGATTGAGCTTTACATCTTTGTGAAGAAATTTGAGTTGTATTTCTAGAAATTTAAACAGACTTTTAGTAACATCATTTATAAACGGTGTACAGTTGCATTCTCATAATTTCACTGCAAAGAACATAAATGGGAAACAGGGCCTATGTGATTTGGTTCAGCCATTTTACAAGTTGGTAATGAGCTAATATCAGGGGTTTCTCCCCCCCATTTCATAAACACTACTTGGAAACACATTTCAGAGTTTAATGCTACCATCCCAGCTGCTCTGGTTTATGGGCAAGCTGAGGTTGACTCTAAACATCTGTTGGAGAACTTGGTTGAAAGAGAAGCACAAGCAGTGCCGGTGGTCCGCAGCGAGCGGCACTCGCGCACAGAGTGCCTCGGCGTGCGTTTATCCGCAGACGGGACCAAAGGTGCCAGGAGTCTCAAGTTAAAATGCGGGAGCTTAATCAAATACTGCACATAAAAGTAAAGCTCTGGGTTAAAAAAATACACGGGGCAGAATCTTCAGAGCCCATCGCGGTTATTCACCTTGCCTCAGTTGATGGCTGGCACAGCCAAGGTGGTTGTGAGAGAACTACTTAAAATCAACGTGTTTCAGTCCTGAAGCTGACAGCAGCGAGTACGGCTGGCTTGCTAGGCTGGCCGCTGGAGCAAAAATGCGGTGGAAGCATTTCCGTCCTATATACTTTATTATATAGAGTTTCTACCTGTACTGCGAAATGGGATTCTTCTTCAGCCAGAAGCTAGCAAACTTGGCTCAGAAGGAAAGTTTGAAACTGCAACAGGCTCAAAAATGGAGCGGAAGAGAGAGGGTGGTTCAAGGAAATTTCTTTCCTGTAATTTATTGAATGGCCCTTTATAATATACATGAATAGAAATTTAACATTAGTGTATTCTAAAATTTGGCTTAATTTAGGACAATCCATTGATGTGAATAGGACCTTCTGTTTCAAGCTTAATCGTGGTTTAAGCAGGCCTTCAAACACAGCTATTATTCAGAGCTTTAAAACTGGCCGTGTTCAATCACTGCTCAGGCTTTCTGTGATAGGATTCGGCCATTTCTGTTTTTAGTATTTACAAGGTGTTGGGCATACAAAATAGAGGTCAGGCCAAACTGAGACTTCCAGAACCTGAAGGGGTCTATTACACTACAAAGAGAGTTAACGCAGTCAAAATTCATAGGACCAGTAGAGCATCTTAAACTTTTTCACACTTAGAAAAATATATTTTTAAATAGCAATCTACATAATCTCCAGTCTTCAGGAAACTACAGACAGGCTAAACAGCAAATTCCTGAACGGCAAGTACTGATCTTTGGCAGCATTAAAGTGAAGAGGGATAAAGATCTAAGTGCTCAGCCCTAATCCGCCCAAAAGGAATTTTAATAGATAGGTGTTACAAGCGGACCTGTACTCACTCCTTTTGGAAGTCAGCCTATGGGGTTGCATACATCTAATTGGTAAATTTTTCCAATCCCAAAAAAAAAAAAAAGCCATAGAAACTTCAAGAGCTACTAAATTAACTTTGTAAATGTGACCTTGAACATTTCAGCCTACATGTTAAACAGGTGTTTCTACTAGACTACATCTTTGAATATTCAGTATGCTCTCCCAGTTCAATCCTCATGCTGTCTACACCTTAAACCTGTGCACCACTGGGAAGGAGTGTTCAGCATACTGCTTTCTCATTAATGAGGCTATAATCCTGTTCTCATTTTTCAGCTATAGAGGGGGCTGCTGAACATGAAAGGATCGACAGCTCAACCGTGAAAATGTAGTGACCATATACTAACTTTGGATTCGTTCCTGAACTTAAAACAGGGGAAAGTGTCCTTTATAAAGAGGTTTATTGATGCTTAAGTAGCATTATCTTCTCCAGTAAAGCTTGTGTGTGTTTCCTTAGGGAAATCATGTTCGCCTTTTAAAAGCTGTGATCCTTTAGGGTGATGGTGTGTTTCTTTCCTTATGTAAACACAAGGAAAAATAAGTCATTAAATAATGAGCCTTCAAAATAAAATAGAAATTCTAACAAAGAAAAACCGTTTGCTTAAAAAGATGACGAAAACTTTGCAAGTTGGGGTTTTAAGGTTTTGATTTGGGTTTTTTGGGGGAGAAGCTCAGTCCCCTCAGCCTCCTTACCAGGCCTGCCGAGTTTGCACCCTTCCCAAAAAGGGGGGGCTGGCTTTCACCAAGTATCTGTATACTTTGAAACGTATATTTCTTTGAAACGTAACTGTCTGGCAGTGTGTGGATTATGGACAGTTCCCCAATGCATACAGCAAGTGTCTTGAACTTCTCTGTCTTCTATTTTGATGACTCTGGGCGTTTATCCCTGTTAACAATCCTAAATTAGCACCACTTGCCCATGCAGGGTTTGGTTCGGTTTGCTTTTTTTTTTTTGTTCCTCGTCTGTAATTCTGGTCTCTCAAGGCTGTTAATTTATACAGTCTTCTCTGCATCCGTATCTTTTAGTGAGGCATATGTACACATTTCCAGACAAATAAACTGCAATTAAAAAAAAATGCAGTGAGTTCATTATATTTCTAGTTTTTTGAGGTTTTAAATCATACATGTAATAAAACTTTTCATGAATTACTTTTATTTTGTATTTCCATAGTGTGTGACTCCACAGCACCAGCTTCCAGTTAGGCTACCTTTTTATAGTTGACTAGCTGAGTCTCTAACATGGGGATATGAGATCTCTTAGTAACTAGTTCAAGATTCTCTGCTCTTGGCTTAGGAAAGTTACCAACCTGCAGTCATCACCTCCGGCACTAACGACATGTCGATCCCCACTGGTAAATCGAATATTGGTCACGTGAGGTGAATGACCCAAGAACCTTTTGTGCTTTGCCTGAGAAACAACAAAAAACAAAGCTTAGGATGTTGTGTGAGGCACGCAGAAATCAAAGGTTCGTATCGGGAACCCTGTCTCTGTCATGGGGGCTGTGAAGAGAGTAGGCACTTCAGACCACATGCAATGTTACTAAAATGCTTTCTTACGAGCATCTGGGTGGTTCAGTCAGTTAAGCGTCCAGCTCTTGACTATAGCTCATGTTGTGATCTTACAAATCATGAGATCGAGCACCGTGTCGGGCTTTATACTAACAGTGCGGAACCCGCTTGGGGTTCTCTCTCTCTGCCCCTCCCCTGCTCCTGTACTTTCTCAAAACATAAATACATTGCTTTTTCACAGTTAGTAATGGATCTGCACCTAACAGACCAGGTTTTTTCAGCAGTCCGATGTCTCCAGGTACTCTGAAAATTTTCCTTTTGAGGAAAAGAATTTGAAACTTGATAATAGATTAAAGGTTTAATGAAAGGATAATCACAGCTCTATTAGGATAGTTAGCAAAGATGTGTAAGGAGCATGAGGAGTCAACTAAAAGCTTTATTTTTAGTAGGTTTTAAAAAAATCTTAGGAACACAAGTGTTTCTAAATCAGGAGACTAACAGCTATTAAATTATGGAAAAGAGGTACTAATGGTCAGATCTAAACAAAACTACATCAAAAAACAGACCAAACAGAAACTTACAAATTTTTCAGGACATGGGAAGTCAAATAACTTAACCATCCCAAAGTCATCTCCTGTTACAAGGCTGATTCCTGAATGAGATACGCAGGCACAGTTGACATTGGCTTTCTCAGCATGTCTGGACCAGATTCCCATAACTTCATCTCCTAGAATACTAGAGGGAAGGAATAAAGAAAATACACCATAGCACAGATGTACTCCACTGAAGCAGTTTTTTGGTAATTAGTTTCTACTTTAATTATGTTCTTTAAAATTAATGAAGATGCATATGCTATAGGAATTTGATGGATTAAAAAGATGGATACTCCTGGTTACCTGTTACACAGCCAGCAAATCCGTAAGATTTTATTTCTAACAGCTGCACAATGTATTCTTTTAGGTAGAGAAATAACAGGATTGCTTAACAGTACCTGGTATGTGTTTTTACTGCCAATTTCTGAACCTAACACGTTAAGGAAAATATCAGGGTATCGTTAAAGGCTTTTCACCTTGATAAAGCATGAGCATAGGTTCGGTCACAAGGCGTCCCAGCAGGAGCCCATCATTCTTCTCTTAGGAAGAACTCAGGATACGGTAACAAACTTAGAACTGCTGTTCCCTAGTGGAATGGCTCTAACTGTTCAGCAACAGGATTTTCCCGTTTACCTAGTCCATGTAGCCCAAGTAATTCTGTCCATGGCGGCCTGATCCAGAACAGGTTTTCCTGAAGGCACTTCATAGACCTGTCGTTTATAGCAACCGGTAGAGACCTTTCGTTGTATTAAAAAGGGGACAAGAATTCCATTATGTGAGAGACACATCAGAAGGCTAGAGAATACTAGCAAAGTGTGCTATTTGCTTTACATTTCTAACATTAACATTATAGATGACTATAAAAATCTCAGAAAAAAATGGAAAAAAGATCTGACAAGAACAGGATATTAAAGAATGCAGAAACAGTGAAGAGTAAATAAAGGCAAAAGTTCACAAGCTCTGGAACTCAGGTGTTTTTTCAGAAAGCTCTCGCCCAACGTGGGGCGTCGAATTCATGACCCTGAGATCAAGATTCACATGCTTAGCTGACTGAGCCAGCCAGGTGCCCCTCTGAAACTCAGGAGTTTTATTTATTAAGAAAAAAATTTTTTTTTTAATTTCTGAGGGAGAGAGAGAAACTGTGAGCAGGGGAGGGTCAGAGAGAGAGAGATACAGAATCTGAAACAGGCTCTGAGCTAGCTGTCAGCACAGAGCCCAACGCAGGGCTTGAACCCACGAATCGTGAGATCATGACCTGAGCCGAAGTCAGACGCTCAACCGACTGAACCACACGGGTGCCCCATGAAACTCAGGAGTTTCAACAGCCGTAACAACAGCTCCTGTGAACTGGACGTAGGACAGAGGTACTGTACCTGGAGATGTCTGCTGTCTGCAGAGAAGTCCATCTGAATGACAAAGCTGGGAATGTCTCTGCAGTAGCTGATTCTGTTAAGGGTGGGGCCCAATGTTAGGTCATAAAAATCCACTGAGTTCTCACTAGAACCCACTGCCAGAAACCGGGAATCTGGACTAAATCTGGAGAGAGGATAAAATACGCGAAAGATGCATCAGCCCACATGAAATCATAAATATTTAAGAACCAGTGACTTCCATTCTAGCTCTCAAAATGAAGTATGTGTGTGATCTGGCCTCAAGTAGATTTACCTGGTGGACACAACTGATTGTGTGTATGGAGATTCTGTTTGTGTTACATGGAACAAAAAGTTTACATTTTACTTCAAGTGGCTCAATTTTCATCTAATTCCCATAAAAGTCTAGATTTCGAAAAAGCCACTAACAATTACTGAATTCATAAGTTACAGAATTCACCCAGTTCACCACGAGAGGATTCTTTCCTCTGGAAACATGGTATCGTAACAGCAAAGGACACAGATCTGCCAAATCCCCCTCAGGTTATCTGGGGAAGGGACAGGACCTGGAGCTTGGAAGAAGTTATTTGAAGAGACAAATATGTGCCTAGTGACCACAGCAAATAATCTGGGACAGTTCAGGTTCTTTAGGGAAATGGGGGGGCCTACAGGAAGGAAGAATATATATATATTCAATATATACTGAAGTTCTGAGGCCAATTCCATTTGTGAAAGGGTTTTACTGGTGAAGGGTGCCAAGCTTTTGTCAGAGCCAGGTTCAGTAACCCATCTTGATCACACTGAGGCACTTGGTAAATGGTAGCCATTGTCTGAATAAGCTTAAGCGCTGGAATGTGAAGTTTCAAGAAAAGTTTAAAGCTTAATTAACTCAGATTCTGGGACATAGATTTTTGATGGGTATTAATTAAATGAGTGACTATATATTCGGCTGAGATGTGGAGTTACGCCTTTAGTTTCCCAGGCTGACAACTTCTCAAGGACAGACGGCCCCCTTCTGTACAGCGGCAGCGGATTCTGGCAGGGTGAGCCCGGTGGGCCTGGCCCGCGGGACACTTAATCATCAGACGGTCCCTGAATGCATGTTCTTAGAAGGCACTGTGGTTGATGCCACTGGGTTAGTAATTCGGCAGGAAGTAAATGACACCAACGGCTGTATTTCAGCATACAGCTGACGCTGTGGTAGAATGCTACAGGCACTGGTAAGGACCTGTTTTCAAATGCAACCTGGGTCATTTAAGAATTATACGTATTAGAAATTATATTCCATTTGTTGACTAACCTGATATCATGGATTGCACATCGTCTATCTCTCTTCTTTCCCCATATTTTTAGAGAGCTCACCAGTAAAATAATAAATTCTCCATTTTTCATTCCGATAGCCACCATATCCCCTTCAGGGCTGTAACACACGGTCCGAGCAGCATGTCCCAAGTTCACTTTGTTTAACATCTTCTGCATAAGAACCAAAAGAGCCAGAGAAAACTACATTAAGTACAAAGTAAACCAGTTCCTTTTCAAAACTCTCAACATAATTCTCAAATAGTTCTTTGAGTGCTTAGCAATGTGGTACTTCCGGTGTCCTTAAAAATTGTAACTTACAAGAAAAAAAAAACAACCTCAAAAACTGTTTGTACTTACTTTATCAGCAATATCCCAGAGTCTCACTGTCCCATCTTCTGCAGCAGAAAGGAAAAAATCCCTGGATGGATGTGTCACCAGTCCCCATATGGGCCCATCCACGTGACCGTTAACTAAAATATTGCAGGCTGCATTTTTCTCTCCAACTTCAATGATCTCCGCGCTCCTTGTCCCAACTAGGATCTTGCCCTGAAACACAAAGGGGACCGATAGGTTTACTGTAATACGGCAGTTGCTTTCAACAACTTAAGGGCCTACCGACCTTAGAGAACTTTTTGCTCTGAACTAACGTAGCAGCAAGCTCATCGTTAGCTCATGAGGTTTTCTTTGACTAGAGCCCCCAGTCTGTGCCAAAGAACAGGACTCTTCTCTAAGACAGCACCCCCCTACTGTGACTGTATTTTAATCTGACAGTCACCAAAGTGGTGTAGGTGCGTTGGGATACAGGAAGAGAGTATTACATTTTAGTTGAAGAGTATAAATAGGGGCGCCTGGGTGGCTCAGTCAGTCGAGTGACTTCGACTCAGGTCATGATCTCGCAGTTTGTGGGTTCGAGCCCCCATCAGGTTCTGTGCTGACAGCTCAGAGCCTGGAGCCTGTTCCAGATTGTGTCTCCCCCTCTCTCTGCCCCTCCCCTGCTCACACTCTGTCTCTTCCTGTCTCAAAAATAAACAAACATTAAAAAAAAATTATTTAAAAAAAAATCCCCAAAACAGATGGGGCGTCTGGCTGCTCAGTTGGTAGACTCTTGATGTCGGGGATCTTCAGTTTGAGACCCACGCTTCGGGGGGCGGGGGGCTGAGTACTTAAAACGTAAAGTGAAGGCGCCTGAGGTGCTCAGTTTGTGGGTCCAAGCCCCACGTTGGACTCTGCTGACAGCTCAGAGCCTGGAGCCTGCTTCGGATTCTGTGACTCCCTCTCCCTGGCTCTTGCGCACGGGTGTGCTCTCTCTTCCTCGCAAAAGTAAACATGAGAAAAAAGTTTAATTAAAAAACGTAAAAAGAAATGAACGTTTAAAAGTGAATAAAATTTAGCAGTTTTGCTCTCATCAAAATGGAGTCAACTGGCAAGAGAACACGCTTCTGCCCACCACGGGTGAATCAGCAGGTTCAAGAAAATACGGAGGTTTCAATACGGCGTTTAGCCGGGATAGTGGCTGCTCCACCTCGCGCGGGGGCCCGGGTGCACGCGGTGCAGGGGCCGCGCGGGCCGCAGGGAGAAGGCGGCGCGCAGCCAGCAAGCAAACCCCGTTGGTGCCACTGGTCACGCTGCGGAGGGAGGGGAGCCGCACGAGTAACCGTCCTCTGCTTCCTGCGGCCCCGAGCGGCGCTCGAACATCTTACTTTGCCTCTGCACACGGAACGGACGCAGTCCGTGGCCTGGCCCGTGTCCAGCCGGAAGGCTCGGCACCGCCGCAGCTCCTGGTCCCACAGTTTGACCGCTCCTCCTTCTCTTGACCTGAGAACAACCCAAGCCAAATAAGCATTTGTTATGAGCTATTACAAATCATTTTTACTGTAAGCAAATAGTAAATGACAGAAGCAGAACTGTTTAAAACAAAAAAGGGGCCCTGACGTCCACTTTTTATAGTCCCTAAGCTTTCTGTAGCAATTGTGAGATACGCTGTATTTCAGCCATTCAGGTTAAGCAAATTTTACTTGGTGAGAATTCATTTTTCTGGCAGTACGATCTCAGTTCCCCCAATGCACCCGCATAATGTATCTTCTCGATTAAGGAAACGTGCGGAACGCGGTTTCATGTTAAGACGACAAGGGCAACGCGAGGCTCGCTAACAGGGTTGCAGACGCTACGCTACAGAAGACACTTCTCATGGCCCAGAGGGGTGCGCCCTCCTTCCTCTCATTACTAAAACACCCCTGAAACCGCCCGGCAGGCGACTCGCGGGCCGGCGTGGGGGAAACGCCAGCATCAGCCTACGACGGAGGAGACGAACTAGAGCCCATCATCTACGGTCTTTCTGTCGGAAGGCCTGGGAGGCGTCTTCTTTCATTTTCCGTCAGGGGAACTGCGAGCGTCGGGAGACAGCCTGGCCGGCCGAGCGCCACAGGCAGGGCTGCCCGCGGCTGTGCCGGATTGGGCGCGTCCTCCCCGTGCTGCCGACACTACGTTTCAACAAGAGGAGAATGTCGGCAGAAAAATCAGTATCTGGCTTCTTTCGGGGGGTTTCAAGTCACTCAGAAAAAAGTCTTTTCTTAGGCTTAAATGTAAAGGCTGGTTTACGCAATTTTATGTAACAGGCATTTTACGTAACGGACTTGCCTCAAGCCAAAGCAGACGAGGCAGTTTGTTTCCAGCGCCCTCACGCCTCCCCCCGGCAGCCGGCAGGGCGCGCCTCGGCCCTCAGCCTCTCTCTGGACAAACAAGGAGGGAGCAGGCGGCCACGACGCGTCCCGGGACGGAGGACCAAGCCTCCCGTGGGTCGCCTCTTCCCCGGCAAAGGCTCACACAGGCGGCTCTCCGCCTGCGCCACACCCACCGAGACCATGCCCCGGAGAAGGAAGCTGCCACCCCGACTGCCGGGGTTAAGGGGTCTCTACACTCTGAAATGAATCAGAAGCGACGTAAGACCAGGAATTAAGAATCGACAGGAAGGCACATAAAAGGCCATAAAGGTGAAGCACGTGAGGAAGAAAGTCGGAGAGGAGGATCCGTGTAGTCTAGAAAAAACTAGAACAATTCCCTGCAAACCGCAGGCGGCCCCCGGTGCACGAACGCGCGCTAAGGCTGCGGGAACAGGACTCACGGCCTTTCCTTGCCTCCGGTCACGATAAGTCCGTCCCGCAGCGTGGTGTGCATGGCGAACACAGGCCCGTTGTGGGCTCTGGCCACGGTCCTACACAATATGTGATCTTTCCACACACAGACATCCCCACTGACGGTACCTGTAAACGTCAAGTTATTCTGAAAAAGGAGTGGGGAAGGGGGAGATAAACTTATCAAAAGTTCAAATAGAGTTGAAACAGACGCAATTCTCTACCGCAAGTGTGGCCTACGTCACCTTCTCAGATGCAAAGAACATGACAGAGTGGGACAAGCCAGGGGCCCGGGAGCCAGGACACCTGAACCTGAGGCTTAGCTTTGTCAGGGCCTTCCGTTCTATTCTGTTGCTTATATGCTGGAATAACCTTGGACAAGGTTTTTAAACCTCTAGGAGTATCAGCTTTTTATTGTGTAAGATGAGGGAGTTCAGGCACCAAGTTCCCCTCTACTGCTAAACTTTTAGAATTTTGGTTTACATGGTCTCTTTGGGCTGTTTCCCTCCGGTTCCCTCCGAGAAATAGCTTGAGGTCATTAGTAACTGAGAGTGGGGAAAACAAACAAACAAACAAAAAAGAGTAGGAACCGGAAGTGAAAATAACATTTCACTAGGTTTGATACAGTATTTTGTCACAGAAAGTAAAACCACGTACACAACTTACAGCCACTTTGTAGGAATTTTTTAGATTTCACTAATTCATGAGGTTATAGATGACATTAACATTTGCCATGATTTCTTAAAATCAAAACAGCAGAAATCAGTGCATTTCCATAATAGAAAAGAAGATAAATTTGCTAAGGGGCCAAAGTAACAGTGCTTTAGATCACTTTGAGAATCGCTATCCTGACAGACTTCCTTTATGTGGAAACTGGAGAAATGAAATTCTGCATCATGTGCTCTCTTCATCCATCTTAGTTTCACTTTCAGAGCAACCGGTCCGAAATCTCTCACGAAAAACAATATGGAAAGAACCAATAGGAAAATAAGACTCTGAATTACAACAAAACAGATTTTCTTTCCTCTTTCTGAGAATACGATAGTTTCCATGTTTAATTTCCCTACAATTTTTTTAAAGTGATCTCAACCCAGAGATCCAGAGTCGCATGCTCTGTGCACTCTCCCTCCAACAATTTAATGTCACTTGAGTGTCTCAGCAGCCCCGCATGGTCTCTGTCGGTCTGGATAACAATAATTGTACTTGTCACCTAGGAGCATCATTAATTCATGCCTTGTCAGCAATCAGAATGTACACGCTCTAGGTGAGGAACCAGGATTTCACCTCCTGTGCTCTTCTCTGTAAGCCCTCGGCATGGCGGACGTTCAAATAGGCCTAAACTGAACATCGACCCATCTTGCTATGTAACCAAACATTCTGATTTCACTGCTACTCTAACCGTAAGTCAATTAGGATTAATATTTTAGTCTTCAAGTTTATTTTCTATTGGGAATGGGCAACTGAGTACATAAGGAATTTTATACATTAAGAAAGTTAATCTACACGGGCAAATTCAATGCCAGAACCATTTGAATGTGTGGGTTTTTCTTCTGGGCAGGAACTACCTACCGGTCTTATACTATGAATCCCCAAAACATTTAATGGAAGTCTGACATGATATGACCAACATCTTCCAACGGTCTTTTTGCTAAAATCATGTGCTCAAAGGTTCTCAAAGTATAATTTTCTTCACGTATTACATTCCCAGCCCCGTAAACATTATTACAGAAATCCACCAAGGCTTCAGATGTACCAAAGGATTTAAAAAGCCTGGCCAGGGCTCAGGGTATTAGAGATGTGGATTGTAAACCGCAGGCCCGATGCGATGTGGGGGCGGGGGCAGTCCTCTTACAACCTCCGTGAAGACCAGGAATCCGGCTCCCCTTCCTCCTCTGACCCACCCAGAGCACTTCCAACTATGTGATAAGCAGTGAGCTAACATGATAGAAAGCAAAAGAAATCCTAAACTCAGGCACCACCTTAAACACTAGAAAATTACATTTCTTGATTTATCTTCCTTTATTCTGACAAATCTTTAGGATTATGAGGAACTGCTAGGAGGATAGAAATTTTAGGGGATTTAGGGTAATAATTACAAAATTAATGAAGGCTTTTGAGAATGGCTGGCAGTGGCCCAAGGACACAAATGTTTCATTATAATCCCCCTCCCTCACTACTTTTCTTTCCCACTCTCTGATATCTGAAAGTAGGAGATTTTGAAAGGTGGAATAGATGCATGACCAGGACACATGGAATGACTAGTGGGTCACGGAGCCACACAACCACGTGAATGTGGCTTCTCTGTCTAAACCAAGAAAAACTCAAAGCCGTCCAGTTTCCGGGACTCGGAGCTCGGTGAGCACACGCGCTTTAAGAGACGTACTGCACCGAAAGCCACGGCCAGCATGGTCTGCATCCGGGCGCCCTCCAGCGCGCTCAGGAGCCCTTTTTTGCTAAGAAGAGCCCTTCCTGCCAGTGTCCAGAACTTCACGTGCTTGACTCCCACAGACACAAACTGGGAATCGGAATCCGGTCGGAATTCTGCCACAAAAATACGTCGGTGGTGACCGGCTCTGCTGGCAATTTTGGCACCTGATAAAAAGAGACAACAAAATCATCTAGGTTAGCAGAGGAACTAAGCTAACTTTTACCGGATCAAACAGTTACTCAAAGTACATAGTTCACAAAACAAATACGCGTGTCCTCTGCACCGCCGCCCAGCAACTGCATGACGGATGATTACCGTGGAGAAGGTCCTTTTTATGTATTTTCTCAAGTGACATGGGTATTAATGGGAGCTTTATTATCACTGAAGGGCCATTCTAGATTTTACTTTTTTTTAAACATTTTTTTCATTTTTGAGAGAGCAAGCGAGCGAGTGGGGTAGAGGCAGAAAGAGAGGGAGACACAGAATCCGAAGCAGGCTCCACGCTCTGAGCTGTGGGCACAGAGCCCGATGCGGGGCTCAAACCCACGAGTAGTGAGATCATGACCTGAGCTGAAGTCAGACGCCCAAACGACAGAGCCATTCAGGCGCCCCAGGGCCATTCTAGATTTTAGAAATCACACCCTACTTTCTTCTGTGTGGCTCTGTGACTTCACTTTCTGTGGCAGCCACATAACCGAGAAGTTTTATCTAAAGTATGGTAAGCAATATTCTCCTACTCATCTTTCATTATCACTTGTATTCCATTCTTAAGACCTCCTATGACCAAACAATAATTAACCAAATTATTAAATAACTATAATAACCAAATAACTCTTAATACTTACATATGGTTTCTTACTGAAAGAGCAGTGAATTATGTATAGTATTAGTAACTTTCATACATTTATGTTTTGTGAGCTTCTTTCATTGAGTTTTGAGAGTGGAATGTACAGTGATCCCAACTGTGTACTGTGTATCTTGGACTGAAATGAAGAATCAGCTCAATCACTAAGTTAAAGCTAATATTAAACCGCATTCCTATTACCCTGGTATTCTGATTTTGAAAAGTTACAAAGGAAAAAGAACCCTACCTTCCTGCCATCTCCAAATGGTAATCGTATGTTCCGGGTCCAGCCCCACCGACAGCAAGAGTTTGCCAGTAGCACTGAAGCTGACCGAACACACGCCCTTTGAATGGTAGCATCTCAGTAAAGATAAAGTCTGCTTGTTCATTGCGTCCCAGATGTGGATAGAAGGAGCTGTAGCTAAATAATGATAAAATCCAAAAGTTGTAATATACCCATTACAGAGGTTTCCATTTCTACAGCTGATGCATACTTTCTGAAACACGGAAAAATATGTACCAAAGAATGACTGTGTACTTAATAAAAAACAGCTCAAGACTAAGTGAAAAAAGGAACAGACTCATAAATACAGAGAACTGATGGGTGTGGGGGGGGGAGGACATAATGGGTGAAGTGGAGCGGGAGATACAGACTTCCAGTTATGAGTAAGTCATGGGATAAAAGGCACAGCATAGGGAACGCGGTCAAGGGGACTGGATGACATCACATGGGGACGAATGGTAGCGACACCCGTGGTGAGTGCGGCAGAGCGTGTAAACGAGTCCAGCCACGATGCTGTACACCTGAAACTCATGTAACGTCATGTGTCCACTATACCTCAATTAAAAAACAACAACAAAAGGAAAGAAAAGGAAAGGCAAAAATACAGAATACTTCTTCAGGCTACAGTTTAGACTGCATTTTTTTTGAGAAACAAACATTTAGACAAGAAAAGCAGGCAATCAAAAACCTTAAATTATTCAGAAAAATGCGTGTTTTAGATACATGTTAAATCTTTATATGATTATGTGGGGAAATAAATATTACACAATAATTAAATATCAGAGTATATTCAGTTATCTGCTATCTTTGGTACTGAGCATTAGTTATCGATGTTACTCAGTATCTTACCTGAAAGAGAGATGAAAGGCAAACACAAACTGAGAAAGGCAACAGGTAGGAAGGACACCACCTGAATATATCTCAAAAGAAATCTTCAATCGTATAGATAGATATCTGGTAAAAAGCTAAGTTCATATCCCTTTATAAGACGGTGGTTTTTTTTTTTTTTGCTTTTAAATTTTTTTTTATGTTTATTCATTTTTGAGAGACAGAAAGAAAGCACAAGCGTGGAAGGGGCAGAGAGAGGTGCAGAGGGTCCAAAGCAGGCTCCAGGCTCTGCCCTGACAGCAGACAGCCTTGACGTGGGGCTCAAACTGAGGAACTGCGAGATCATGACCTGAGTTGAACTTAGATGCTTAACCAACTGAGCCACCCAGGCGCCCCAGTTTTTTTAAATGTTTTATTTATTTCTGAGAAAGAGAGAAAGAGAGAGAGAGAGAGCGTGATCAGGGAAGGGGCAGAGAGAGAGGGAGACACAGAATCTGAAGCAGGCTCCAGGCTCTGAGCTAGCTGTCAGCACAGAGCCTGACGTGGGGCTCGAACCCACAAACCGAGAGATCATGACCTAAGCCAAAATCAAGAGTCAGATGCTTAACTGAGTCACCCAGGCGCTCCAATCACTAAACATTTTTAAGGCTTTTCTAACTTACTAAAGAAAGATTTATGTTCGTTACATTATATTTTCTCCTGTGATTCAAAAACGGTCATTCACGATGCTAGAGGTACACAGACACTCCTCTCACTCTTCCCCTTCCTACAGCCCACCAGCTAATGGGTGCCTGTCACGGGCTAGGCCGGCAACAGGAGACACATCAAAGCTCCACTTGTAGGCAGGCGTGTTTTCCCGTGCAGTCAGACAGGCCCTAAGTGACACACACCTCAGGGTGCTGTCACTGAATCCCGGTTCTGGGCGTGCTCCTTCCGTCACAACAAGCTATCTCTGGAAGATCAATCCCACTGACTTTATTGTTTTTTAATGTCCATTTATTTTTAAGAGAGAAGGGATGAGCGAGGGAGAGGGCACAAGCTGGGGAGGGGGGGCAGAGGATTCAAAGTGGGCTCCATGCTGACAGTAGAGAGCCTGATGCGGGGCTCAAACCTGTGAACCATGAGATCATAATCTGAGCCAAAGTCGGACACCTAACTGCCTGAGCCACCCAGGCGCCGCATCCCACTGACTTGATAAGCATTCTTGACTTTTAGTCTCCAGTACAGAGACGCCACAAGGGTCTCTTTCAATTACTAATTGGATCTCATAAGAACCAAAGTTTTAAAGGACATTCTTTCTCCATCCTCTACTTGGCCTTACTATATTTTAAATAAAATTTTAATACAGGCCATTAAGTGCGCCAATTGTATGTCACTCTTTAGTTTCCTCAGTGGACAGCTTCTTGCTGCATACCCACCACCCATTACCTCCTTCCTTCTTAATCAAGCTATACTTTTATTCAGGAATCCCCTCCTCCCTTACGTAGAGCAAGTGATTCAGGGGAAAGACCCTGCTTGCTCAGTTCATCAGGCTGAGCCCCCTGGGATGACTTCCCCGCACCCCCAGCCACGCACACTCACCCTGCCCACTCTGCTTCCAGCAGCGGCAGAAGTGATACAGTTCAGTAACCCAGATTTGAGCCAATTAGCACGTGGTATTCCCCAGGTGTCTTCTTTCTTAGTAAGGGGCTTGGTTTGTGTCTTAAAACGACTCAATCAGACTAAAAGGAAGGACTTTCAAGCCCATGGTTCTGAAAAGGGTTTTATCTTCTTTCCCACTAGATGAAAGCAAAGCAGCACGTAACTCTCACTGGGGTGCTGGTGACCCTTTTATGACCATGAAGGCAACCAACCTTAGGGCTAGTACATTTCCTGATTTCCTGTCACAGAGGACACAGGGAAGACCCCTAGAGTCACTTAATGGACAACTGCCTATTGTGACAAAGAGTAACTAAAATGGGGGGCTGGGAGGTGCAGATAATTCTCCCTCTAAATTGCCTTAAGGATCAAAATGCCAAATTCTTAATACCGTCTTAGGAAGGCCAAGAAAGCTTTGTCAGACACAGAAGAGATCCCCTTCGTGTCTACTCAAAAAACATCTAATGAATTCAAATGGCAATTATACCATATATTTCCTAATACATATTTACTCTCCCATATTCCAAAGTGACCATTTCAAAACTTTAACCCCCCTTCTTCACTACCTCCTCACTCTCAGCTGATGAAATGAACTAAATAGAAGCTATCAGACACAAGCTGCCTTATTTTCTCAGTCTTCTTGCACCCCCTTTAACTCTTAGGTCTCTGAGTTTCTTCCTGCCCACCTGTCTCTCTGGAAGTGTTCTCCCATCTCAGTGAGCCAGCTGCTCCTGCAAAAATTAGCTGCCTTGCTTGCTCACTTTCTGTCACACCCTCAAATCCAATTCATCAGAAAGGACCACTGGCTTTACCTCCAAAATATATGCTGTATTTGTCTAGCGTTCTCACAATTTTCAATCCTACCACCTCAGTTAAAAAGGTCTTTTACGTGGATTCTTATAACAGCCTCTCAACTTTCTGATTACTTCTCTTTCCCCTCTGCATCCTTAATAGTGCAGAGTGATTTTCTCAAAGTATAAATGAGATCAACTCACTCCTTAACACTCTCCATGACGGATTCTGCACTTAGCGTGAATCCAAATTCCTCTCCATGATCTGCAAAGCCCCATGCTACCAATTCCTACCCCTTCTCCTTCTCCAAGTTCATCTTAGAGGCCTTACTCCTCCACACTGACCTTCCTGTTTCTTGATTTAAGTCTTGCACAGGAAAGAGTTAACATAAACATGCCTGAAGGTGCTATCATTAGCAGGGTCTGCTTGCAAAGGTGTGAGAACTTGACTTCTGAAATGGTCCCTTTGTTGATAAGGCTGTCGATCTGGGGTGCTAAACACCTGCTTTCTTCTGGGTATTTCCGTAGTTGTGGCTGGTCTGTACCTATGCAGTCAGCCCCTCCTCCCCAAAAAGCCTGGACTCCAAGGTTTAAGTGGGTGGCCCTGGGCAAAGCATTGCACCTAAGCTCCTGTAGTGTCTAGACTTCACCCAGTGTGTCTTTTTTCCTTGCTGATTACTATACGAAACTATAGCCCTCACTATCTCTGGGCCCTGGGATTTCTTCTAGGGAATCACTGAAAGTACGGGTGGGTCTTGGGACTCCCCCAAAACAGCCTCAACCTGGAGTCCTCCAGTTCATCCCTTAGCTGTCACTTTTTTGTTCACGTTCTTGGCCCTGCTGAATGTGACCACCTCCAAGAAAACAAACACCTAGTTTTATGCATATCATCCTGTTTTGTTTTGTTTTGTTTTTATCATATCACCATCTCAGGTCATGTTAGTTTCAGAAGTTTACTTACTAGAGCACCTGGCTGGCTCAGTTGGAGGCATGTACAGCTCTTGATCTCGGGGTTGTGAGTTCAAGGCCCACAGTGGGTATAAAGATTACTTAAAATAAATAAATAAAAATATTTAAAACTTCTTTTTGGAAAAATTAAAAAAGTTTTAAAAAGTTTACTTATTTATTGCCTCTCTCCCTCTAGAGCTGGAGCCTGCAAACTTTTTCTGTCAAGGGTCAGATAAGTGACAAAATTGAAGATATTATGCAGGTACCTATCTAATGAGAGAAAAGTTTCATTACATTTTTATTGATGGAAATCATGGAGTGATTTTTTTTTTAATTTCAGAGAGTGAGCATGAGGGAGGAGGAGGGATCAGAGGAGGAGGAGGGAGGGGGGGGGAGAGAGAGAGAGAGAGAGAGAGAGAGAGAGAGAGAGAGAGAGGGAGGGAGAGAATATGAATCCCAAGCAGAGTCTATGCTCAGCACAAAGCCCAACGTGGGGCTCCATCCCCATGGCCCTGGGATCATGACCTGAGCCAAAATTAAGAGCTGGTCATTCAACTGACTGAGCCACCCAGGGACCTGGAGAGTGAAATTTTTTATCATACAGATCTACTAATGAGAAGAGTGAAATTCTTTGGAGATAACAAAGTGAGGTTTCCAAAGTGAGGTTTCAGAGTTATTTCTCATCAAAATAAATCACAATGTTTGCCTATAAAAGTTTTACATATTTCAACTTTGAAAATGTCTCATGTAGGGGCGCCTGGGGGGCTCAGTCAGTTAAGGGTCCGACACTAGCTCAGGTCATGATCTTGCAGTTCATGGGTTTGAGCCCTGCATTGGGCTCTGTGCTGGGCTCGAAATAAATAAACATTAAAAAAACAGGGGCGCCTGGGTGGCTTAGTCGGTTAAGCGTCCGACTTTCACTTAGGTCATGATCTTGTGGTTTGTGGGTTCGAGCCCCGCATCAGGCTCTGTGCTGACTGCCAGCTCAGAGCCTGGAGCCTGTTTCGGTCTGTGACTCCCTCTCTCTCTGACCCTCCCCTGCTCACACTGTCTCTCTCTCTCTCTCCTAGAAATAAATAAAACATTAAAAAAAAACATTAAAAAAACGAAAAGATGTCTCATGTAGACAGTTACTGACAAATTTGAATATAGATCCAAAAGCGAAGGCATTTAGAGCATTCAGTTAAGAGTCTTGTCTTGATATCTGCCTTTTTACATGTTTTCCATTGCAGAATAATTACCATCAACTAAACCTTACATGGAAGTTCTTCAATTTCAGTTCAACTGGATTCTGAAATATGGAACTTTCCTTTGCACTTGCATCAAGATCTGAAAAGTGCTGCTGGAACTGTAGTCTGAGACCAGAAAATACATTTGCTGCATGTGGGGCTCTCACTGTTTAATGTTCGGCACCATGAGAAGTGTGTCATGCAGTCTGGTGTTACTTGTGATTCAACATTAGTCGCCATCAGTGACCTGACTCCAGAATCTCACTGTGACTGTAATTTCAGGTTGTTACTGTAATTGTAGTTTCCTTGTAATTTCAGGGGGAATTCATTAAGAAACATGAGCAAGTCTGCAGCAAAACTAATTTCCAAGGCCATTTGGTTTTTCCATAATACTCTTCTCATTCATTCAGAAAAATTTCAGTCTGGGTTCTGAGCTCCAAAAACTGCAATATAGCTACTACTGCTAAACCACTGGGTGAGTCAGGACACTCAGCTTCTATTTCCAACATGAATTCATGGAACTGATGATGGCTAATTCTATGAAAACAAATGAAGTTAACTGTTGACTCTCAATGACAAACTGAGGTTGTCAACAACACGATACCCTGATGTTTTCCACAAACTACCTGACGATGAACGGCACAATGAATCATAGGCTTTAAACACCCTAAATTTTCGCCAGTTTTGTAAACTTATTGACCAACTAACCCTTTTTCGGCTCCAGCTCCACATATATTTTTAGCACCATTAGGTGTCACATATCTTAGCAGATTCCACTTCAGACGGTACTGAGTTAATGTTTTCTTAAGCTTCTCTGAAAATATTATCTTTTGTAGTTGTTCCATGGAAACTAGTCATAGAGGCCAACTCTTCAGTCACTTCAAGGTTGACAGTGACTGCCTCAAATGAGCAACTGGCAACAACTATCAATCTGTTAAGAGCCAAGGGAAACCATTCAGAATTTGCTTTTTTTAGGATCTTGTTAACTGACTACTAATGCTGTTCCCAACAACCTCCACTCTTTTAGCAATAGGTTTTGCCAAAAAGCTAATGGTTTTAAACATGTTCTCTGGACACATGTTTGCTGCAATCAAACATGATTTAATTAACTCGCAGTAAATTTTTCATGACTAATGAAGTATTCAAAAAATTTGGTTGTAGACTCATTTTATTTCTTATTTTTGTGAAGAAATTCTGTTGTGATAAGCTACGCTCACACATATTCTTTCACATTTCCGAATTCTTCTGACTGTTGGTTTCCTATGAACTGGGAATACTTTTATCAATTTTAGTGTGAAAATGTTATATATTGTATTCCTTTAGCACAGCTATGGTGTCACTGCATGCTAAACAGTGTTTTACCATATAATTTGATAACAATATAATCCACATCCCACTGTGCCTTAGAAGTGTGACATTCAAAGTCCACTTTCCTTGTTTTGCCTTGTTTTGACACGATGGATATACATTGGTTACATAACCAAATGAAATGTGGTTTAGCTCAAAACCTGCCAAGTTATAAGAGCATTGCTGCATTTCCAGTGTGCCAGACGGCAGTACAAAGCAGCCAGAGGGTCATGTGGGTGTCTGTCGCAGCTGCTCGGGGCCATTGTAGTGCAGAATCCACCACCAACAGTATGCAGCCAAAGGAGTCTGTGTCCAACACTTCATCTGCGGATACTGAAATCTGAACTTCATATAATTTTCATATGCTATGAAATTTTCTTTTGATTTTTTTCCCTAACTATTTAACTTAGTAAAAACTATATTTAGCTCATGGGTTATCCAATAACAGGTAGATTTGGCCCCAGGGCTCTGGTTAGCCAACTCCTGCTCTTGAATGTAACTAGGAGAGCAAAAACGTCGCCTGTTTGTGTTCAATACATTTGTAGTTTAACAGTCAAATCACAGAATCAGGCTTTACCCCGGAGGGAAACAGACATAGATCATGACACATTTTCATATCAAACTGCTATTTTTCCTATATTGTGTAAACTGAAAGGGGAATTGACAAATCCTAGTAAATATCTAAAAACAATGGACACATTATCCAGTAGCTGTTTAGATTCACAAAGCTATGGCCAAGGTCAGTAATAGTTATTTTTAAATCTTTAAAGTGATTTGTTGATATAATATGTGCAATAATTGGAGTGATATATAAAAATAGCAATTAAAAATTTTTACTTTCAGGCAACACAACCTACTGATTCACATTTAAGATTACTTTTACTCCCAACTGCACTCTTTATAAAAAAAAAAATTTTTTTAATGTTTATTTTTGTAAGAGAGAGACAGAGTGAAAGCAGGGGATGGAGGGAGGGAGGGAGACAAAGAGTCCAAAGAAGGCTGGAGGCTCTGCATTGCGAGGACAGAGCCTGATGCAGGGCTCTGAACTCACAAACCATGAGATCATGACCTGAGCCGAAGTCAGAAGCTTAACCTACTGAGCTGCCCGGGCACCCCCTCCCCCAGCTGCACTGAGCAGGCACATGATGTTGGCAAGTTGATTCCTACCATGGAGGATTCTTGCAATGATTACACAGGTAATATGCTGAAAGTGCTTACAATAGTGTTGCCACACTAAAAAGGTAATAATATATTAGTTTTAAAAGTAAACAATTATCATTGTTACTGCAGAATTGGCTCAGTGTCATCACATTAAAAGAATGGATTTTTCATTAAAGCAAATTCAAAATACATTCAAGTATCTTATTGCTCAATACAAATTTGGACTATCAATACTAAACAACATAACTAAAACAGAAAATGCTGAATTTTCCTTACCTGACATGTCTGCTAAATCACCTACAATGGAAAAACAGCAGAAAAATAACTGTCCATAAATAACATAAATACTTAAAAGTATTATTAAGCAAATTCTTATAATGTATATTTATTAAAAATATTTTAAAAATTCAATTATAAAAATTTTATAAATCATAAATTGTCATATGCAAAATTAGTTTTATGATGTTAAATAGAGTAAACTGTAAGTGAAGCCATTCAGTTCAATCATCCACGTATATTAACATCTCATGTATAAGACCTTTCAATTACTGGATAAAAACTTTATGTTCTTTGTATTTAATGAGTCACATGAAATTTTTAACAATTTAAAGATAATACAGAGATATGATTTAAATGATACAACTCTTAGTTTACAAAATGCCCTCTAACAGACTGGAGTTTTAACGCATCTCTGCTCTGCCCCGAGAGTCCAAGATTCTAGACAAGGGCCACCCCCCTGCCCCCGCTGCCCCGCCCAAAAAAAAAAAAAAGTTTGAATGTCACTGGCTAAAATACCACAAAAGCAAGTATTTCCCCTATGACTGACCTACACAATTTTGAACAGAGAGAGGCATAAATATTTTAGAGAGTGTTTTGTGCTTTGCAGGTATGATACAAGGTTGGCAGGAAAAGTTACTATTGATTCAACTGTCTGGGTTCAGAAGAGAAAACGTCCCTCATTCTTTGGTGGTCTCTCAAGTCTTACATACCATTAGTCATCAGTAAAAAAGGTCTACATCCATTCTGTGGAAGGGTACAGTGGGGCAAGGCACAGGACTGCATATATGATCTAAAATCACCTTTGTAGTGCCTGGAATTTGACTTGGAAGATAATTAGCCACTTTACATTTCCCTATAGTGTCGCCTTTCAAAATAAAAGGAAAAGATACAGATACTAAATTATTAAGTTGTGTCTATATGATGTTATATGTCAATTATAACTCAATAAAAAAAGGAAAAGGAGAAGAGGGTCAAATTTAATGAAAGAGTATATTTGTGACTACAACATTTCTTAATCAAAAGACAAAACTACAGCACTAATATGTTAAGCAAAATTGCTCAAAAAAGGGAGAGAAGGGGAAATTAAAAAAAGAAGCAAAGTTGGGAAATGGAAGAACCATACCTTCTAGAACTCTATTCACAGTATGTAAATTCCATTAACATAGAGATATTATCTTTTTTTGGTAAGCCTATATCCCCAGCACCTAGGACAGTACCTTGTGCATGGTGTGTGCTCAGTAAGTTTGTTGAATAAATGAATCTATTCAATAAAAATTAACTGAACAATAACTATATGCCAAGAGGCACTGTACTAGGCTCTTTTATGACCCAAATGGTACTATGATCTCATTTTTTGTGCAGAGTAAAAATGTTTAAAAATTTAGTGCAAAAAGTACCTAGGCCTATCTATTTATACTCAAAGATTAGAATTTTTTGTATGTAATTCATGAAGGATCAGTCTACTTGTTAAAAATAGAAAAACTGACAGAAAGGAAGAATACAAGCACCTTTGTGGTACAACTACAGAACTTCACAACCCAGAGACAGAGTTTCGGACTGATCAGTTTAGTACTTGTATGAAAAATGAAGGTATTTAAAGCATAAATTCTTCTATCCAAGGAGAAAAAGACACCTGGGAGGCTGGCTTAGCAACTGAGGCCCGCCAAGGTCCAGCAAGCTCAATGACAGTGATCACTTTTACAAAGTGCACCAGGCTTATGAAGCTTCCACTGACCAAATCTATGGTGCGATGCTCACAGTGATCACCGACTGGTAGCTGTACTGTTCTAAGTAGACCTGCTATCCTCTCATCCTTTACGTTTTCTAAAGGGTTAAAAGAAGACAGCAAGCCAGGTGGTTTTTAGAACAGCTGACAACTTAAATCAATTCCAAAGAAAAGAAAAAGGCAGAAGGGTTTACCAGCATGGAACAGACGGGGCTTCTCTTTCCTTCCTAGCTCAGACCTATTGCTGCAGATATTCTACCCGTCGGTCTGGTTACTATCCCCCCTTATTTACAGCTTCTTCCTTGAATTCTTTTTGCTTTATGTGCTAAATTAAACCTTTTTGCCAATTAGAAATACCTGCTAACGGACTAAATCTAACTACTGCAATCACCATAAAATAGTTTATTCTTAATTCTAACTGTCTGAACCCATTACGATAACCAAAGTGAGAGAAAGGTGTCTGGAAGAAAATCAAAGGTAAAACTGTGTGTGTGGCTTTTTTTTTTTAATGTTTATTTATTTTTGAGAGACAGAGAGAGAGAGAGAGAAGAGCACAAGCAGGGGAAGGGCAGAGAGAGAAGGAGACACAGAACCTGAAGCAGGCTCCAGGCTCTGAGTTGTCAGCACAGAGCCTGATGTGGGGCTCGAACGCACGAACCGTGAGATCATGACTTGAGTCGAAGTCAAAAGTTCAACTGACTAAGCCACCCAGGCGCCCCTGGGTATGTATTTTATATACAAATATATTTTCAACAATACACAAATATATTTTACTTTTTTCCCTAGGATACGGAATTTGAACAATACAATTACTTAAAATTGTTTCTTTTTAAAATATAGAAACATACCTACTTGGCCTGTTGCCACTATGTTGATAAATTTGGGATGCTGATTTACAGTCAGGCACAGTATATCATCATTATGTTCTTGATAAAAACTCTGAGTCCCTATTAAAAAAAAATTGAGAAAACCTTAAGACGTAACAGCCAAATGCATTTATCCAGAACAACAAAAACTGCTCTGTTTAACTTAATACATATTTTTTGAGAACTGAGTGTGCACACTTCATCATGAGGATGGTAAAATAACTCAAATCTTTAAAGGGATAGAGTCCCCCAAGTTAACAATGGGCTAAAGATGTCAAGTACCACAAGACAGTTAAAGTCCTGCTGTGGGGATTCATAGCAGAAAAGATTCTTCTTATCACAGGCATATGGCGCTCTCGGACCGATACGACAGATTCTGTTAACGTGAAGGGCAGGGGGGAGGGCATTCCAGGTAGAGAAATACTTCAAGCAAAGGTACAAAGACAGGAAAGTACTAAGTATGCATATATGTTCATTTGGCTGATATGTAAGGTCAAGAATAAATGTGAGAAATATGGTTGGAAAGGCAAATTGGGGCTAGAATGATAGAGGATTATGAATGCAAATCTGTTAAATTTCAGATTTATTTGGTAGTCAGTGGAGAGGTACTGAAGAATTCTGCTCAAAGAAGGTATATGATTTATCTAGCAGCACTGACAACGAAGAGACCTCAGACCTTTGATCATGCAGGACGTAATAAAGGTGGGTTTGTGTGAAGTACAGTGGCCAGGTGGGAAATGAGGTCCGGATGGTAGGGTGTAGGTGAGGTCCAGGTTACAGAGGGCCATCCACACTAGGTCCGCCAAAAATGAAGCCACACAAAACAAAACAATTTAACAATGACATTTACCAGATCTAACAGTTTAAAACTTCTCTTCAAAGTGAAATGTACTTTCTATTTCCCAGGGCTCAGAGCTTAGTGAGAAGAACAGACAAGCAATTATATGTGCTACTGGCTGAGTTCAAAGATCAGTTATAACAGATCAAAACTTCCTAGACTGTGAACATGGTGATGTATCCCAAACCAGAGAGGACAAAAAATGAGGAGTGGAGAGGTGCTGAGTCCCCCCTTCTGCCCTGTCTCTCTGCACCCCATCACTAGAAAGGTGATTAAGGACAAATCAGAAAATTAAAGAAAATTACAAGGATAAACATGGAAGTGTATTTACACATTCCTTTCTAGATCATCTTATTCTTCTCTATTCTCTTTGGTGAAGCCTCCATTAAGGAGGATTATCTAAGCATTTTTTAAATGGCCCCAATTATTAAATAAAAAATCACCATTGGTTTCTATGTCATCTTGGTGAATTCTTTTCTTTAGGAATCCAAAATAGGACAACCACATTAATGATTAATATTGAGAAGACATGGGGGATTAGGACTCACATAAGCCATTCTTTATCTATTCAGAGTGAACCATCAGAGAAAAAAGCCAGAAATGTTTGGATACAAAAATCTCTATTTTTACTTTCATCTTCCAGATTTTATGAGGTTTATAATTACACATAAGAGAATTCAAAATTAAATAATGAATGGCACTAGGAGGATTACGATGTCATTCATCATCAAATGATGCTACAAGAATTTATTTGCTTTTTGACAATCCAAATCAGTTAAATAAACATCGTGAAGTACTTTCTCACCTTGAGTCAAACAAGTACCACGACAGCAGAGACAGAGGGAAGCAGCTTGCTCACGTGTCCTCGGCTTTCTGAGGCCTCAGTGAGAATGCTGCCCACTTCACCCCACTCCCCAGCAACCACTCGCCCAGCGTGCTACTTTTAACCACTATCTGTCAGAGAACCACCAAACCATCCATTTCATGTCAAGGTTATGGGGAAATAGAGTTAGAAATGGTTTCATTATAAAACATGATGTCAACATACAGTCAACCTTCACTCTAATAGAGACCTAGGAGCACTTCACATTATGAAATCTTTTTCTGCTGCATTATACTCTCTTAAGCCTGTAAATTTGGTTACTTGAAATACTACTAGAAAATTCAATAGTATGAAGTACATTCCAGACTTATGCAATTTATTTATAGTTTTAAAAAAGAATTTTAAGATTACAAATAACAAAATTCTAAATAAAAAGTGGGAGATGGAGAATCGGGGTCTCCTACCAGTAGCAACGTTGTGCAGAATTCCAATGGACGCAGTGTGATATATTATATCATCTCCATCATTTAAATAATGAACATTATTCCTACAGTCTTTTCCTCGATAGCCAAAAACAAGCTCCAACACAAGGTCCTATAACAATAAAACCATTATATAATTCCTTATGTCTAAATGTTCATTATTTTTGTATACAGCACTGATATCTTCACTCAAAATGGAGGATGCATTTTGATGTTTTACAACCTTTGAATACAAAACTTAGATAGATATGCTTCTCTACGTAACCTGCTTTGGGCAGGTAAACACACACTTCACACTTTTCTACATATATTAAAAGGAAAAGGGAATCACAAGGTCATCTGATTTCAAGAATTTTAATTTGTTACCAGTTCATGTGTTAAACATGGAAATACTGCTTGTGTTCAAAAGAATATTCCGATTTGCGTTGTTAGTAAAAATATGTAATCTGCACATATAACTCAGGATATATTATGTCCAAGTGACGTATTTTTGAGGGGCCAAAATAGTACATAAGACAACGGTATGGAAAACTACACCATCTATGATAACTCATGCTAAAGTTCTAGCAGATAATCTGCCAGTGAAAATGTCTGTTTCTTTAACCTTGTGAGGCTTCCAGTGGAGAGAAGTACAACAATCATCATCCCACAGATTTGCGCCTCATTTTTTAGCTGATTCAGCACAGTTTGCTTGTGGCTGCTGATACTGGAATTAATTAAATGTCTGGGAGAACTTTCCTTCTTGCTCAATTATTGTAGAAAGTTTCTTTGTTTGAAAGTAGACCTTTCTCTGAACCCTAGAATGAATGTATCACATGAAGGATAAACTTTTACTTCTAAATTCAAAATACTAGCCTAAGACACTGTCTAGGTATCTGTTATTCTATAAGCTGTCTTTAAGTCATTCACATACATTTACATTTAGAAGTTCTTTGAGATACAGTTCAATTCAGAATATTATTCACGGAAGACTAAAAAAATAAAAAAAATAAAAAAAATAAAAAGAAATGAAAGACATCAATCCAAAACTCAGACTTGACAGTTAAGCAATCAGTTTTTACAACCAAACAAAAAAGATTACTCAGGGGCGCCTGGCTGGCTTAGTCGGTAGAACACGCGACTCATCTGAGGGACTGAACCCCATGCTAGGTGTAGAGATTACTTAAAAAATGAAATATTAAAAAACATTATTCAATGCTTATTTTCATACAAACTAATGACAAGACTTGGCTGTCTTACAAGAAGAAAATAGAACGAATTCTGAATACATTTTAAAGCACAAGGTAACACTGGGAGTGGGTTCACCTTACCTCTATGGGTCTCTTTTTCTTGCCAACATTGTTTGTCTGGAGTTTTTCTGGCCTTGGTGGGGCTCTGCTCACGGGGGGCCTGAAACGGGAAAGTGGGAATGAGGAAAGGCATCAATCACTGTGCACCTTCACTCAGCCTCCCTCACCTGCCCTCCGAAGAGAGAGATCTGACACACCTTCACAAAAATGAACCCCATCTGTTCCTCACTATGCTGTGGCCTCTTTATATTTTCTAAGGCAGGAAGGTGGAAAGAAGATATGAGAACTTTTATTCATTTTAACTTCTTTGATGTATGTTTCATAATGTAAATAATACATTAACACAAGAGCAGACTGTTTATAAATAAATATACAAATGTTAGTTTAATGACTCAAAAACTTCTTGATGGAATGCATTGTAAAAGAGCCTGGATCACTGCTCTGAAGTTTCTATCACAGTACTGTGCAAATGGCAGGTATATGATACATTCTTCTTGGATTTTGAAAATATTTCTGTGAACTTTCTATACTATTGGCAACATAAATTATGTCTGATTTCAAACTTGTACTCATTACTTACTCTCCTCCAGGCCCTTTACCTTTCCTTCTTCCTCAAGTCTCTAGTAAGGTTAATGGCATCACCATCAGTCAGTCAAGCAAACATTTAATAGTTACATAGCACTACAAATCACACAACACTCTGCAGAAGATGATTACTACTACTATGGCCTTGAACTCGTTTTCTTCTCCATTCTATTTACTAGACATTCATCAACTTCACTTAAAGAGGAGCTCTCATATCTATCCCTTCTTCTCTGTTTCTATTACTAGTTTAGGATCTTCTTTTTTTTTTTTCTTTTTTTTTTTTAATATTTTATTTATTTCTAGGAGAGAGAGAGACAGCGTGAGCAGGGGAGGGTCAGAGAGAAAGGGAGTCACAGACTGAAACAGGCTCCAGGCTCTGAGCTGGCAGTCAGCACAGAGCCAGACGCGGGGCTCGAACCCACGAACCGCGAGATCATGACCTAAGCGAAAGTCGGACGCTTAACCGACTAAGCCACCCAGGCGCCCCTAGTTTAGGATCTTCTTTTTTTTTTTTTTTTTTTTTTTTTTTTTTTTTTTTTTTTTTTTAATATTTTATTTATTTCTAGGAGAGAGAGAGACAGCGTGAGCAGGGGAGGGTCAGAGAGAAAGGGAGTCACAGACTGAAACAGGCTCCAGGCTCTGAGCTGGCAGTCAGCACAGAGCCCGACGCGGGGCTCGAACTCACGAACTGCGAGATCATGACCTAAGTGAAGTCGGACGCTTAACCGACTAAGCCACCCGGGCAACCCCAGAGTTCCCATTTTGAATCATTTAAATGTGGAGGCTCTTAAAATGCCTAGGTATAAACCACACAGGTGAAGTACTTGCACTCTGAAAACCATAAAACACTGATGAAATAAATCAAAGATGACACAAAGAAATGGAGAATATTCCATACGCATGGACTGAAAGCGTTAATATTGTTTAAATGTCCATGCTACCCAAAGCAACCTACAGACTCCATGCAATTCATATCAAAATACCAACAGCATCTTTCACAAAACTGGAACCAATAATACTAAAATTTGTATGAAACCACAAAAGAATCCAAATACCCAAAGCAATCTTGAGGAAGAAAAAAAAACAAAAAACGCTGGAGGTATCATAATTCCAGTGTTCAAGTTATATTACAAAGCTACAGTAATAGTGTCAGGATAGTACTGGCACAAAAACAGACACGAAGACTAATGGAAGAGGATAAAGAACCCAGAAATAAACCCATGGTTATATGGTCAATTAATCTATGACAATGGAGGCAAAAATATACAATGGGGAAAAGACAGTTTTTTAGTAAATGGTTCTGGGAAAACTAGACAGTTACATGTAAAAGAACTGGATCAGTTTTTAACCAATTTCTCTGACATCAGCTGTAGCAACATTTTCCTAGATGGGCCCCCTAAGGCAAGGGAAACAAAAGCAAAAATAAACTTTGGGACTACACCAAAATAAAAAGCTTTTGCATAGCAAAGTGAACCATCAACAGAATAAAAAGGTAATTTAGTGAATGGGAGAAGACATTTGCAAATGATATAAGTGATAAGGGGTTAACATATAAAATACACAAGAACTTATACAACTCGATACTTAAAAAAAATCTGATTAAAAAACGGGCAGAGTCCCTGAATAGATATTTCTCCAAAGAAAACAGATGCCCAACAGACACATAAAAAGATGTTCAACATCACTAATCATCAGGGAAATGCAAATCAAAACCCCAATATCACCTTACACTTGTTAAACAGCTAAAATAAAAGACAAGAAATAACAAGTGTTGGCAACGATATGTAGGAAAAGGAACCTTTGTGCATTGCTGGTGGGAATGTAAATTGATACAGCCACTGTGGAAAACAGTATGTAGGGAGATTCCACAAAAAATTAAAAATACAAATACCATATGATCCAACAATTCCACTCTTGGATATTTACCCCCCCTCCAAAATGAATACACTTATTCAAAAAAATATATGTACTCCCATGTTTACTGAAGCATTATTTACAATAGCCAAGATACAGAAGTGACCTAAATGTCCACTGATAGAGAAATGGGTAAGGAACACACACACACACACACACAGGACTATTACACAGCCATTAAAAAGGATGAGATCTTGTTTGTGACAATGTGGATGGATCTAGAGGGTATTATGCTAAGAGGGTATATATACCATACCATTATGGTATATATGCTAAGACAAATACCATATGACTTCACTCATATGTGGAGTATTAAAAAAACAAATGAATCAACAAACAAAAAGCAGAATGAGACTTATATATACAGAGAACTTTGACAGCTGCCAGAAGGAAGATGTGGAGACGGGCAAAATGGGTGAAGGGTAAGGGGAGATACAGGCTTCCCATTACGGAATGAAGAAGTCACAGGAATAAAAGGCCTAACATAAGGAATGCAGTGAATGATACTGTAATAACAATGTGGGGGACAGATGGTGGCCACACTTGCAGTGAGCAAGGCATGATGTATAAACTTGTCAAATCACTATGTTGCACACCTGAAATGAAAGTAACATAGTGTGCCAACTGCACTCAAATTTTTTAAAAAGTGGGGAGGCTTTTTTCCTAAATTTATGTGTCTAATTTAAAAACACCACCTCATTTGGTTTATTGTTATCTCAGATAACCATTGTTTAAATATTTAATAACCCAAACACTGAATACAAATCAATCATGCTATCAACCTCCCCTTCCAAACTTTTAGTATTCAATTTGTAACAACTAAATCAGAAAATGATACAAACTGACTTTCCTGTAGGAAAATCCAACATGTGTGATTAAAAGTATAAATTTAAAGGCTAAAAACATATTTGTATTTTCACAATAGTTTCCAGGTTATACATCTATAAAAGTCAATGAGGTGCCCTATCTTGAAAATGTAATATAAAAGAAGTGCATACATTCATATGTAATGTGTAGTAGTATGTAGAAGTAAAGAAACCATGGCTGGTGACATAAAAATTACATGCACTGAAAGTATAAAGAACTTTTCAAATTATTGCAGAAATTTTGGTTTTGAACCTTTTTCACATACTATTTTGAATGTCTATAATAAATATAATTTAGCTTATAATATTTAACATTTATTATTTTTTTTAATGTTTTATTTATTTCTAGGAGAGAGAGAGAGAGAGAGAGAGAGACAGCGTGAGCAGGGGAGGGTCAGAGAGAGAGGGAGACACAGACTCTGAAACAGGCTCCAGGCTCTGAGCTGGCAGTCAGCACAGAGCCCGACGCGGGGCTTGAACCCACGAACTGTGAGATCATGACCTAAGTGAAAGTCGGACGCTTAACCGACTAAGCCACCCAGGCGCCCCAATATTTAACATTTAAAAAGTTTCTCTTAGGGCCATTTTAAGGAATGATAGCAGCCTTGGCTTTTCTTCCAGGTCAGTTTTGTTGGTGAACTTCATTCAGTGTTATTATCTGACAGCTTTAATTGTAATCCAAACAACAAACAGGTAGTTTTGATCTATATAAGCCTCTGTAACAATTAAGTATATCTTAATTTTTAAAAATAATTTTTTTGGTATAATTATTGTTTAAATAAAGTTATACAACTTATAAAATTATACAAGTTGAACAAATAAAGTTTTGATAAAGCAGTTACTTATGGAGGAGAAATACAATAATTAAGATGCTATTCATTTCAGTGATGCTGATTTCAGAGGAGAAAAACATGGACAACTGTGAACATCAAGCAATACAGCTCATTAATGGTAAACATGAAAGATGATAAAAATACATAATTAGGTTTCATAAAATACAGCAAAGAGAGAGGATTACCTGGAACCTCTTTTCAGCAGCAGATGAAAAAAGGGAAAAGATTAGAACACAAATCTGAATTTAAAACACAAGTAAAATACTTCCATAAAAGACTATTTTTACAAGTTTAATGCAGGCCATACTGCATGTATTAAAGGCCTATTGTTATTTATTACTGCTCAAGTTGAGAAAATCAGCAGGAAAATCAGGAGGTGAAAACAGAAAATGGGCACTGAACATGTTCTATGTTGTAAATATTAAAGCTTACCAGTGCTACTTTTCTATGGTGCACTCTGAATTTCAAACAAAATACTGATGCTTACCTTTGTTCCTAAGAACGGGCAGTGAAATGTTAACCAACTTAAAAGGCTGGTAGCACTGGGGATGCTATTAAGGAAATTGTCTAAGGTAAAGTAGGTCCTCCTAACCCAAGGGGCTGTCCCAGTCAGCCAGTCCAATCCAGCGGGCAACAAGAGTTACTCAAGATCATGCTAGACTTGGGATTTTTCTAGTCTCCAAAGGAGGTTAACTTTAATAAATTCTTTAAAATGTTTTTTATTTATTTCTGAGAGAGAGAGAGAGAGACAGCGTGAGCAGGGGAGGGTCAGAGAGAGACGGAGACAGAATCTGAAACAGGCTCCAGGCTGTGAGACTAGCTGTCAGCACAAAGCCCGATGCGGGGCTTGAACCCACAAACCGTGAGGTCATGACCAGAGCCGAAGTCTAACACTCAACCAACTGAGCCACCCAGGTGCCCCTAAAGGAGATAACTTTAAAAAAAATCCCTTTAATAATATGATGACCATAAAAGAACTGAAAGAGATCACAAAAGTCATCTCATCCATCCTCCTACTGAAAGGAAGAATCGTCTTTACATGTCTAGAACATCTCTTTGTAGCACTGATGACAAATAATCATCTAAACCCTGCATGGAAACTGCTCATGAAAGGAAGGTCACTTCTCTCTTTCATTGACACCCAAGATAACAATTATATCTCTACTTAGCTTTGTTTTGAAACAAGTAACGCCCACTGTAAACTGTCAGCGTCCCTTTAAAATGCAGAGATCAGTCCTAAATAAGTTACTTCAGAACTGAGGCTAGATCTGAATGTTTTATTTCTGTTAAAATAGTCTAAGATAATGTGGAGCTCTGCAGAAGTTACATCAGACTCTAGACTTCTATCTTTGCACTCACTCATTTTTTTTTTTTTTTTTTTTTTTAATTAGAGAGAGCATGAGTGGGGGAGGGGGAATAAGTGGAAGGAGGGAGGGAGGGGAGAATCTTAAGCAGGCTCCATGTTTAATGTGGAGCCTGATGCAGGGTTCAAATCCCATGCCCTTGGGACCGTGACCTGAGCCAAAATAAAGAGTCAGATGTTCAGTGGACTGAGGCACCCAGGTGCCTCCCACACATCACTCATTTAAAACAAGTAACGAATTTTTGCTGTTTACCAAGTAAGATAAGGAGTGCCTAATATCTGAGTTTCTACACAATCGCGTCTCAAATCTATTTTTTTTCATCCTTATCTTCCAGCATTTTCCTAATGGTACCCTTTTTTACTTCTAAAATAGACTGGCTTTTTCCATACAGTCCTGTTTCAGAAACTGCCTGAAGACATTTTCATCTCACTAAAGGTAGTTCTAAGAGTATTCCAGAGAGTCCTTTTCTGTACTTACCATTTTATTAAACATACAAATATCTTCACTGCCTTATGTTAATGTTTATAAATGAATATATAAGTACACATTAGGGGCACCTGGGTGGCTCAGTTGGTTGAGCGTCTGACTTTGGCTCAGGTCATGATCTCACAGTTCGTGAGTTCAAGCCCCACATCAGGCTCTGTGCTGACAGCTAGCTCAGAGTCTGGAGTCTGCTTCGGATTCTGTGTCTCCCTCTCTCTCTGACCCTCCCCTGCTCATGCTGTCTCTCTCTCAGAAATAAACAAAACATTAAAAATTTAAAAAAAAATAAGTACACATTGAATGAAGCTAACAGGTTTATAAACTGAATAATTTTTCAGATAAATACGTGTGGTTAACTATTTTTATGAACCTCTGAAACTTACAGAGAAACTAAAACTACTGGGACTTTGTGAAAAGTCATGTGTAAAACCAAATGATCATAAAGAAGACCCTCTGCAACACCCACATACTACATATACAGATATGTATATTTGCAACTTTTCTGTAGGACTTATTTCACTTTCTAATTCTCTTGACAAATGTAGTTCAATGTTTTATAGGAAAAAAACAATACCTGAAAATACTACAAAGATCAAAACAGAACGAAGACTAAATAATGGAATATTTTATTTAATAAAACACTTACCTTACTACCCCCTGCCTTCAAAAGGAGCAAAAGGAAAAAAAGCATTGATGATGAATAATTGATGGAAGCTGATGAATAAAAGGTAGCAGTTAAGTAAACAGAAGAAAGGAAACATCAATACAATTCTAAAGAAACACAAAAATGCCTAAATTTTATGCTATACTGTTCTGAATATATTTATTAAAAAATACTGAAAGTTTGATTGACAACTACTTTAAATACACAAGATTTGCTACAAAAAGAAAAACATAAAATCATTAAAGTCATTTAGGAAAAAAGGCCCCACAAAAGTATTGACCAAGTAAAGCAGTTATCAACTGTCATCAGAAACATTTTCTTAAGTGGATATTTGACAAGCATTTGTTTTAACTGTTTATAAAATGTTTTATTTCTTATTTCTTAGCAATAACATATTTTATTTATAATACAAAACTTTTATATAGACCATAGTATCTCTTCACAAATATATACAAAATTGGTAAAAGAAGTATCTTCATTTTTTTCTCCTTTGATTCTCTCATTTTATGAAAATGAAGACTCCTAACTATGAGTCATTTCTGACTTTGGCTTCAGCATTTTCAAAAGAATTCAGCATAAACTGAGAACAAATGCAAAGCTATTTCAAAAATAATTTTGAAAACTTCAGGTGTAAAAAAACATAAGCTTGGGGCGCCCGGGTGGCTTAGTCGGTTGAGCGTCTGACTTTTGCTCAGGTCATGATCTCGCGGTTCGTGGGTTCGAGCCCCGTGTCGGGCTCTGTGCTGACTGCCAGCTCAGAGCCTGGAGCCTGTTTCAGAGTCTGTGACTCCCTCTCTCTCTGACCCTCCCCTGTTCATGCTGTCTCTCTCTCTCCTAGAAATAAATAAATAAAACATTAAAAAAAAAAAACATAAGCTAACAGCAAAGATTATGACAGTGTCAAGTATTTTTCTTTTTTTTCATTTTTTAAAAAGTATATTTGAGAGACAGCGTGAGCAGGGGAGGTACAGAGAGAGAGGGAGAGAAAGAATCCCAAGCAGGTTCCGCATTTTCAATGCAGAGCTTGATGAGGGGCTCAATCTCACGAACTGGGAGATCGTGACCTGAGCAAAAATCAAGAGTTGGATGCCTGACCCACTGAGCCACCAGGCACTGATCAAGCATTTTTCATGAGCAGTAAAATCCTTCCATCAGTCAGAACGTGGGTCACTTTACTAATAAAGGAGGAATTTTAATTGTTTTACCATGAATATGGCCTATAGATTAAAATTAGGTCACATTTTCTGCTTTACCTAATTTATCTGATAAATGATAGTATTTTTATTAAAACTCAGTATAATAAATGAAAAAGACTTATGGTAAGGTCTAGAGTTTCTTCCTCCTTATAGTACACTTTTGGCTTTTCATTACCTGTGAAATACAATGTAAGTAAGCACCGTACTGCACACATCCTCATTAGGAACATCTACATTTGTACACTTATATGTAGTTCTCCAATTAATGGATTATATAGGTATTGTTCATTACTTCATGGATATTTAGGTTCAGAAAGTGTTTCAGTATTAACCAGGTATCTCCCTCAGGTGATTCTGTATTTCATTCTCAGGGAGGGTGGTGAAGACTTACTACCTAAATTCTTTAGATAAGTTATTTTTCATTTTATAGAATACTCTATAAGTTAGTGATTCTTTTTAAATTTTCTTAATGTTTATTTTTGAGAGAGACAGAGACAGAGCACAAACAAGAGACGGGCAGGGAGGGGGAAGACAGAATCCAAAGCAGGTCTGAACTCCACAAGCTGTGAGATCATGACCTGAGCTGAAGTCAGACACTCAACCGAGTCATCCAGGCCAGTCATCCAAACCTATTTCTAATACTCTGCGTCTTCATCTGTGATGACAAAATAGATAATCGCCATTTTGTGCCCCTATCCATAAGGTGATGCCAGTGTGATTATATGAGAATTCGCCAGCAAATGGGTGCCTGCAAGAGCTACTGTGGAGGCATCATGACTGAACACCACCTTCCAAGAACTTCCATGGGAACTGGGCAGCTCGCCAGTTCAGAGAATCTCTAGTTCGCCCTTCTCCATCAGTAACATGCCCCTCAACACTCCCCCCCAACTTCATCCTTCTCCCTGAACGTCAGCCTGTAGCGCAAGCTCAAACCCTTCTGCATATGCTTTCTTGTGCTGTCATTTCTATCCAGCTGAGCCCCAGGGGTCTTCAGAACTAACCTCACTGACTAGATTTTCACTCGAATTTTCCACAAATTCTGTCCAATGTGAGTGAACTCCCTGTCATTTTTAACTTCTCCCTCAAATATTCTTGCCAACTTCTCATAACAAAGTTTTCTTCAACACAGTTTTCGACAGAAGATGTCACTGCTGTTCCCACCTCCTACTATGCCTTGGTTCCTCACTGCAGTTTCTCGTTAATTTTTTTATCATTTCTTAAAAATCTATGCCATTCACTGATCCATATACCTCTTCACAGTTCTCCATATTCCCTAATTATTTTAAAAGCACCATGTTCACAATCCCTCTCATGATCTGTCATCTAACTCAGAGACTATTAAAAAGTTCTCTCCTCATAAAATTGCTGTGTGCACAGCCTTTATTTTTTATTTGCTGATTCCAGAAAGACCAGTAATTCCTATTCTCTAATGGGACACTACTTCAATTTGACTTTTTCAAAATTTATTTTTATTTATTTTTTTAACATTAAAAAATTTTAATGTTTATTTTTGAGAGAGAGAGAGAGAGAGGGCGAGAGAGAGAGAGAGCTCACGAGCGGAGGTGGGGTGGGGAAACAGAGTGAGACAAAGAATCCAAAGCAGGCTCCACGCTCTGAAATTTCACAGGGACTGATGCAGGGCTTGAACCCACGAACCGAGAGATCATGACCTGAGCTGATATTGGATGCTTATGCTTAACTTACACCTGCCATCCAGGCGCCCTGGAAAAAAATGTTCAAATAATGATTTTCTATCCTTGATTAAAGGCACATGGATAAAAACGCCTTTTCAAAATTTAATCCTACCTCTGCTCATGTGCTTCCTGAAACATACTTGTTACGGGATTCAATTTTTATTATCTCCTACAACCCCCTCACATATATTAATAAAACTTAGCAAATAATATTCCTTTAATCATACAGACTTTATATATTCCCTACACTATTTGCAAGAGACAGTGTCACCATCATAAAGTATTTAAGGAAAATATATTTCCTAAGAGGTGATGGAAGCTGTAAAATGAAACAGTACCACTGTTACTCAGTTTTTGCAAAAATTCATTCAAGCAGTAAATTCAATTTTATTACAAATTTTTTTAATGTCTATTTTTGAGAGACAGAGAGAGACAGAGTGTGAGTGGTGGAGAGGAAGAGAGAGAAGACGACACAGAATCTGAAGCAGACTCCAGGCTCTGAACTGTCAGCACAGAGCCCAATGTGGGGCTCGAACTCACAAACTGTGAGATCATGACCCGAGCTGAAGTTGGAAGTTCAATCATTTGAGCCACCCAGGTGCCTCTAAATTCAATAAAAAAAATTTTTATGTTTATTTATTTTTGAGAGAGAGAGAGACAGAACATGAGTTGGGGAGGGTCAGAAAGAGAGGGAGACACAGAATATAAAGAAGGCTCCAGGCTGTGAGCTGTCAGCACAGAGCCCGATGTGGGTCTCAAATTCAGGAACCAGGAGATCATGACCTGAGCCAGAGTCGGATGCTTAACGACTGAGCCACCCAGGCACCACCTAAATTCAATTAAAAAAAAATTTTTTTTAAATGTTTTTATTTATTTCTAGGAGAGAGAGAGAGAGAGAGAGAGAGAGAGAGACAGCGTGAGCAGGGGAGGGTCAGAGAGAGAGGGAGTCACAGACTCTGAAACAGGCTCCAGGCTCTGAGCTGGCAGTCAGCACAGAGCGTGACGCGGGGCTCGAACCCACAAACCGCGAGATCATGACCTAAGTGAAAGTTGGACGCTTAACCGACTAAGCCACCCAGGCGCCCCATCAATTTTTAATACCAATATATTTTTCTTCATTTAGTTTTAAACTTGATTGTTACCTCTCATCAACTGAGGGTTCTTTCTGTTGCAAATGAGGCTTGACTCCAAACATTGGGCGAATATTTGTTGATAAGGCTCTAATGGTGTAACTGATTTCATTCTCCCTTGTAACATCACTGTCATAGCCTGCCATCAAAACACAGGAATTATTCTCTAAGTTACAACTGAGGAGGTCTATTATGATCTTGTAAACTGGATTCAAGGATGTTCAACAAAATGAAATAAGTTAAATAAATTGTGTTATAGCCAAATTATGAAATAATATACAGCCAGTAAAAATGAGGTAGAATTTTTAATGATATGTAACAATGTTTTTGAAATATTACTAAGAGATAATATCAGCCTACAAAGTATAAATGCAATTCAGTATCATTTTTGTTAAAAAAAAATATATATAAGGCCTCAACATATTAACCGAAGTTACTTCTGAGTGGTCAAATTATGGATACTGTATTTATTTCTATTGCAAAATGTATTTTCTAATTTTTCTATAACAAGCTGGCCTTATTTGTATATAAGGAAAAGAAAATAATTTGAAAATATGAAGTTCGACATTATAAAATGTTAACAGCACTTACATGAAGTAGGATTATCATACATTTGTAGATGAAGAATGTATTTAAGCCATCAATACCTGCCTGCATGGTCTGAGTCATACAATGGATTCTGGCATCAAACAGACCACAAAAACTAAGACCACAATTATTCTAACATTATTATTACTTGTTTCACTGCTGTAGTTTAAATCCATTGTGCTAAATTATTTGTTTTTGTTAAAATATTTTAAAATGACATACCCCCATCTTCTTCAGAATCTGTATCAGATTCTTCACTATCACAAGGTCTTTTTTCTCGATAGCCCTCCATTTCATTTGTCCAAACCATTAAAGACATATCTGCACCTCCTAAGGTAACCAACATGCTGTCGTCGTAGGTCCAGCGAACATTTGTGACATGTGTACTATGGGCCACGTACCTCTTAAACTTTCCAAATTTTCCCTAAAGATGAAAACAAAAATGTTATTACCTTGCAAATGGTCAGTTATAATTTTAAATTTATTTCTTAATATATGATTGGAAATTAATCATCACAAAGTCATCTTGTAAAAATAAAAAGAAAATGCTGAAATTCACTAGAGTAAAAAATGACAATTTCCTGTTGACAACAGGATAAAACTAGTAGTCTCACATACTGCTAGTACCACAGGTGGAATTTTTTTTTAAATCAACTTGGTATTGTACATTAAAAGCATTAAAATATTCTGACATTTTTTAAAAAATTTATGTCTTTATTTTATTTAGAGAGAAAGACAGTGTGAGCAGGGGAGGGTCAGAGAGAGAGGGAGACACAGAATCTGAAACAGGCTCCAGGCGCTGAAATGTCAGCACAGAGCCTGACGCGGGGCTTGAACCCACGCACTGTGAGATCATGGCCTGAGCCCAAGTCAGATGCCCAACAGACTGAGCCACCCAGGTGCCCCAAAAATGTTCTGACTTTTGACTCACCAATCCCTCTTCTAGGGGTATATGCTAAGAAAATTCTATGTGTGCAAAAAATATTCATCATAGTACCTACAGCAGTGAAAAATTTTAAATACCTTAAATGTTCAATCAAGTAAGAGTTAACTACAGTGTATGTCTATGGAAAAGTACATATCTGTTCAAAACAATGGTTATGCAGACATATTGTTGCTGGAAATAAACACAATGAGAAAGGAAATAAATGCTTATGTACAGCACGGTCACGTTAACAAAAAGTAATTATCAACCCTTTTGGAATATATTCATTTAAATATCTTTCATCTTAATTCATTGGTGTTTTTGTTTATAAGCAGTACACACAAAAATATATTTTCCTTTTAAAAATCAAGAAAAATAAAAGTTACAGGCACTGGCAACTTTTAAATCTAGAACACTAACATAACACTAACAAACTACTAAGTAAATTTCAGATCAATCTACTGTAAGCAAGTTTTATTTTTTTAAATTTTTTATAAGCAAGTTTTAGATGGACATCTTTTCAAAGGCGTTAAAATAGGAAATGCCTTAAAATATAGTGATAGCTACAACAGTGAATTCTTTGGAAAAGACTTTAATAAATATCAGCTCCAATAGAAGGGGGGAGGGGGATCTATCATCAAAACACTGCAGGAAGGTACTTTCTCTAAGATATTTTGGTTCTTGTTACAGAGAAGTGAAGCAGGAATCTGTAGACGGTTATCCTAGAGCCTATTCTTAAGGCATCTATACCACCTCGAATGCTAGAAGTGAAGGTTCTGACCAATCAATGCCTTATTGGAACACATTCTTATCAATTAAGGTTCTACACTGAAGTATATCTAAAACAGGGATGTGTGGAATATTTTCTCAGGTACTTGACATGAAAACTTGTGTTTTCATGTCAATGTTGATCAAAAAGTATTAATATGAGCAGTTACTTAAGACCACCAATATCATAATATGATTTCCGTCCCCTATTTCAAATTTATGTTCATGCTGTTGCCAGGTCATAATATACAGCTGATCCTTGAACAATATGGGTTTGAAATGCATAGGGCCATTTATATGCAGATATTTTTTAATAAATACAGTACAGCCCTGTATTTTCCTGATTATTTTTGTAATAACATTTTATTTTCTCTAGCTTACTTTATTATAAGAATACAATATATTATACATATAGAAAATATGTGTTAATTGACTGTTTATGCTATTGGTAAGGCTTCGAGTCAACAGTAGGCTATTAGTAAAGTTTTGGGGAAGTCAAAGGTTGTATGTGGATTTTTGACTATGCAGGGGGTTGGCATCCCAACTCCCACATTGTTCAAGGATCAACTGTACATATGAATTAGTAACAATTAAGAAATAATGCATCTGGACTTGATATATGAATTTTATTTTTATGCTAAGTGAAAGCCTAATGTTTCCCAGTAGTTTGAAAAGAAGAAAGAGAATTCAATTTTCACACAGCACTGGCATGTAGCACTCCAAAGATTCTGTACAGTCTGGTTTTAGCAAAAAATAACATCATTCATTACATTGAATCAGTATTGTCTATTTTAATTTTATAGGTATTATATTTATAGTATTTTGTCTCTAATGGTTACATTTTAAATTTTAAAGCTATAAATATAAAGAATTTGTATTTATTGTTAATTGTATGTATTTAATCAAAAGAATACTAAAATTATTTAAGTTCATATTAGGGATAAAAGAAATGTTTCTTCCAAAAACGGATATTTATATATTACTCAATATTGAGAAACACTGTACAATATAACTTAAGACATGGGACATAAATTATAATACTTCTAAATAAAAGCTATATGGGTGCCTGGGTGGCACCTCAGTAAGTTAAGCATCCAACTCTTGACTTCAGCTCGGGTCTTATCGCATGTTTCATGGATTGAGCCCCAGACTGGGCTCTGCACTGAGAGGGTGGAGCCTGCTTGGGATTCTCTCTCTCTGCCCTTCCCCCACTCGAGTGTGTGTGTGCTCTTTATCAAAGCAAGTAAACATTTTTTTTAAAAGCTATACATATGATGTCAAAATAGGATACACAATTCTAAACCTTCCATATTACGTATGTAATATTCATATTACAAGAACAAAATACTATGAAAGTACATGACCTGAACCATTTTTACAATTATGATCATTAGGGGAGTTAAAGAAAAACACATACTTTAACAGGATATCTAAATAACTTCACAAATCCCAAATCATCCCCAGTAGCTAAGACCATTTTGTCACTCGTGAGGCAAGAGGCAGTTATATCTGTGACTTCTCCAATTACTGGCCAAATTCCCTCACAGCATAAACCAAGCACACTCGTCCATGATGCCCAACAAATTTTTTCTACCTAAAAAGGAAAAAAAGGCTACATGTTAATATCTAAGCCTTAAAAGTTAACAACAAAAATCTGAATATGTTTCTTTCTAATTATATATGTCACAAGCAAAATTAAAATTTTAATAAAAACAGTTGAATTATTAGTTCTCTTGGTTTTTGTAGCTTCCCAAGTGCACTAGTTCCTGTAGAAAAATTTTAACATAACATTATTATTCAACATGTACTTATGATACACCTACCTATGTTCTCCATGCTGAGCATTCAGTGATAAGATAGTTCCTGCTCTTAGAATAACCAAGTAATTTATACTTCATGTCTAAATTTCTAATATTTTAGAGGCATGTTTTCCAAATAATCATTACTGGAAATGAAGAACCTTTCCTTACAGTCCTTCTCCTTATTAAGCCACTTTAATAGTGAATGTATTTAGCCTCTCTTCCTGGACATGTCAAAAAAAAAATATGCTAATACTGTCAGTCACAAAACCAAACACAGAGCACCTGGGTGACTCAGTTGGTTAAGCGTCCAGTCTTGGTTTCAGCTCAGGTCATGGTATCACCATGTGTGGGATCGAGCCCACACCTAGCTCCGCACTGATGACACAGAGGCTGCTTAGGGTGTTCTCTCTCTCTCTCTCTCTCTCTCTCTCTCCCCGCCCTTCTCTCTCAAAATAAATAAATAAACTTCAAAAAAAGATCATTGAAGAAAAAAGTTCAAGGATTTTTCCTTTTCTTTAAATTTGCCAACAAACATATTAGGCAAATGGGTTCCAAAAGATTTGATAGACATGTAATACTCCCATCTAAGACAGGATGTCTATTTGCTTGCTTCTTGTTCTTTGAGGAAAGTACCAAAACATAAAAGTGATTGATTCCTTTTCTTAATACTGCACCTCTTCTTTTACTCATCTACTAGTCTAGGCCAGTAAAATAAACTCACAGAAAGAATACCCATGATTTGAATAATTTGAGAACAGGCTTCATATGTAAATGATAAAAGGCAGGCATCAGTTCTCTAACCATCTAGTCATATTAACAACATTGCAGACACTATTATCTTCCTACCTCCACACTGGGAATGGTTTGTTTTTTCCCTCTGGGAGCTTCAAAGAATAATTGTTCTTTAGCACCAGTGTTGACCTGTAAAAGCTTTCCTTAAAAAAAAATAAAAAAATAAAATATGAATATACATGTAGTTAGGATGTTTAACCTTTTATTTTTATTTATTTATTTTTATTTTTTTAATATTTTTATTTTATTTATTTCTAGGAGAGAGAGAGACAGCGTGAGCAGGGGAGGGTCAGAGAGAGAGGGAGATATAGACTCTGAAATAGGCTCCAGGCTCTGAGCTGGCAGTCAGCACAGAGCCCGACATGGGGCTCGAACCCACTACCACGAGATCATGACCTAAGCGAAAGTCAGACGCTTAACCAACTAAGCCACCCAGGCGCCCCATGTTTAACCTTTTAAAATATTTTCTTTCATGGTTTATTATGATATTTAAATTGTTTTATAATCACATATGTAAAATTATATAGCATCAATCCTATTTAAAAGCATTCAGTGAACATTACCACCTTTCTCCCATTAAGTTCTTTTTTTTTTTTTTAATTCCAGTATAGTTAACATATCCTGTTATATTAGTTTCAGGTATACAATACAGGGATTCAATAGATCCATGTATCACTCATTGCTCATCATGATAAGTATACTGTTAATCTCCATCTATTTTACCCATTCCCCTGCACACCTACTTACAGTTTGCTCTCTAGAGTTAAGAGTCTGTTTTTTGGTCTTTTTTCCCCTTTGTTCATTTGTTTTGTTCCTTAAATTCCACATATGAGTGAAATCACAGGATATTTGTCTTTCTCTGACTATACCACTTAGCATTATACTCTGATTGTGTTCATATTGTTGCAAATGGCAAGATTTCACTCTGTTTTATGGCTAATATCCCATTATATATAACCACATCTTCCTTATTCATTCATCTATTGATGGACGCTTGAGCTGCTTCCATAACTGGGCTATAGTAAATAATGCTGCAATAACCATAGGGGTGCATATATCTTTTTGAATTAGTGTTTTCATATTCTTTGGGTAAATACCCAGTAGTGGAATTACTAGATCATATAGTAATTCTGTTGTTAGTGTTTTCCACAGTGGCTGCACCAGTTTGCATTCCCACCAACTGTGCATGAGGGTTCCTTTTTCTCCACCTTCTCATCAACACTTGTTTCTTGTGTTTTTTATTTTAGCCATTCTGACAGGTGTGACATGATATCTCATTGCAGTTCTGATTTGCTGTTGACTGAGTGATACTGAGCATCTTTTCATGTGTCTGTTGGCCATCTGTATTCATGTCTTCTGCCCATTAAAAAACATCTTTTTAATGTTTTTTTTTTTAATAGTTTATTGTCAAGCTGGTTTCCGTATAACACCCAGTGCTCATCCCCACAGGTGCCCTCCTCCATGCCCATCTCCCCCCTTCCCCACACCCCCACCCCCACCAGCCCTCAGTTTGTTCTCAATATTCAAGAGTCTCTCATGGTTTGTCTCCCTCCCTCTCCCCCCCCATTTCCCCCCTTCTTCTCACCCATGGTCCTCTGTTAAGTTCCTCCTAATCCTGCTATACATGCAAACATAAGGTATCTGTCCTTCTCTGCCTGACTTATTTCACTCAGCATAACACCCTCAAGGTCCATCCATGTTGCTACACATGACCAGATTTCATTGTTTCTCATTGCCATGTAGTATTCCATCGTATAGATAAACCACATCTTCTTGATCCATTCGTCCGTTGATGGACACTTAGGCTCTTTCCATGTTTTGGCTATTGTTGAGAGTGCTGCTATGAACATTGGGGTACATGTGCCCCTATGCATCAGCACGCCTGTATCCCTTGGATAAATTCCAAGCAGTGCTATTGATGGGTCATAGGGGAGTTCTATTGTTAAATTTTTGAGGAACCTCCACACTGTTTTCTGTTTTTTTTTGTTTTTTTTTTGAGAGAGCGAGCATGTGCAAGTGGGGGAGGCAGAGAGAGAGGGAGACAGAGGATCCAAAGCAGACTCTATCCTGAAAAAAGACAGCCAGATGTGGGGCTGGAACTTACAAACTGTAAGATCATGACCTAAGTCATAAAGTCTGAAGTTAGTGCCTTAAATGACTGAGCCACCCGTCCCGTCTTCTGCCCACTTTTAATAGATTTTTTGGTGTTGAGATGTGTATTCTTTATATATTTTGAATACTAGTCCTTTATCAGATATGTTATTTGCAAATATCTTCTCCCATTCAGTAGGTTGTTTTTTAGTTTGTTGGCTGTTTCTTTTATTGTGCAGAACGTTTTTATTTTGAAGTTGTCCCAATAGTTTATTTTTGCTTTTGTTTCCCTTGCCTCAGGAGACCCATCTAGAAAAATGTTGCTATGGCCAGTGTCAGAGAAATTACTGCCTGTGCTCTCTTCTAGGATTTTTATAGTTTCAGGTTTCACATTTAGATCCTTAATCCATTTTGACTTTATTTTTCTGTATGGTTATAAGAAAATGGTCCAGCTTCATTCTTTTGCATGTAGCTGTCAAGTTTTCCCAACATCATTTGTTGAAGAGACTTTTTCCCATTGCATATTCTTGCCTCTTCTGTTGAAGATTAATTGGCCATATAATCATGGGTTTATTCTGGGCTCTTTAATCCTAACCATTGATCTATGTGTCTATTTTTGTTCCAGAACCATACTCTTTTGATTACTATAGCGTCGTATGGTATCTTGAAATATGGCATTGTGATACCTCCAGCTTTGTTCTTTTTCAAGACTGCTTTGGCTATTTGGGGTCTTTTGTGGTTCCATACAAATTTTACTATTGTTCATTTTAGTTTTGTGAAAAATGCTGTTGGTTTTTGCTAGGAATTGTGTTGAATCTGTAGACTGCTTTAGGTAATATGGACATTTTAATAATATTTGTTCTTCTAATCTGTGAGTATGGTATATCTTTCCATTTGTTTGTGTCATCCTAAATTTTTTTTTTTTTACATTTTTTTTTTTAAGAGAAAGTGCATGAGCATGGGGGAGAGGCAGAGAGAGAGAGAGAGAGAAAGAGAGAGAGAGAGGGAGAGAGAGAGAGAATACCAAGCAGGTTCCATGCTCTCAGCACAGAGGCCCACTCAGGGCTCGATTCCATGAACCATGAGATTATCACATGAGCCAAAATCAAGAGTCAGATGCTTAACTGACTGAGCTGCCCACATACCCCCGTATTTTCTTTCATCAATGTTTTATAGTCAGAGTACAGATCTTTCACTTACTTAAATTTATGCCTAGGTGGGGTTTTTTAGGATTTTATTTTTAAGTAATTTCCACACCCAACATTGCGCTCAAACTTACAACACTGAGATCAAGAGTCACATGCTTTCCGGGGCACCTGGGTGGCTTAGTCGGTTAAGTGTCTGACTTTCGCTTAGGTCATGATCTCGCAGTTCGTGAGTTCGAGCCCCGTGTCGGGCTCTGTGCTGACTGCCAGCTCAGAGCCTGGAGGCTGTTTCAGTCTGTGACTCCCTCTCTCTCTGACCCTCCCTTGCTCACACTGTCTCTCTCTCTCTCCTAGAAATAAAATAAAAAAAAAAAAAGAAAATTAAAAAAAAAAGAGTCACATGCTCTAGTGACTGAGTCAGCCAGGCACCCTGGTATTTTATTATTTTGGAGTGCAGTTGTAAATGGGATTATTTTCTTAATTTCTCCTGCTCCTTCATTATTAGTGTATAGAAAAGCAACAGATTTCTGTAGATCAATTTTGTATCCTATTGACCTTACCGAATTCAATTATTGGTTCTAGTAGTTTTTTGGTGGAGTCTTTAGAGTTTTCCATATATAGTATCATGTCATCTGCAAAGGAGTGAAAGTTTTACTTCTTACTAATTTGGATGCTTTTTATTTCTCTTTCTTGTATCACTGCTGTGGCGGGACTTAAAGTACTATGTTAAATAAAAGTGTTAAGAGTGGACATCCTGGTCTTGTTCCTGACCTTAAAAGGGAAAGCTCTCAATTTTTCACCATTAAGTATGATGTTAGCTGTGGGTTTTTCATATATAGCTTTTATTATGTTGAAGTATATTCCCTTGAAACCTACTTTGTTGAAGGTTTTTATTATGAATGGATGTTGAGGGCACAGAGCCTGCTTGGGATTCTCTCTCCCTCTTTCTCTGCCCCTCCCCCATGCTCTCTTTCTCAAAATAAATAAACTTAAAAAAATGAATGGATGTTGTACCTTGTCAAATGCTTTTTCTGCATTTATTGAAATGATCATAAGGTTTTTATCCTTTCTCTTGTTGATAAAAAGTATCATGTGGATTGATTTGCAAATATTGAACCACTTTTGCATCCCAGGGAAAGAATCCCACTTGATTGTGATGAGTATTTTTTAAAATATATTGCTGGATTTGGTTTGCTAATATTTTGTTGAGGATTATTGCCTCTACGTTCATTAGAGATATTGGCCTGTAGTCCTTTTTTGTGGTGTCTTTATCTGGTTTTGGTATCAGAGTAATGCTGGCCTCATAAAACTAATTTGGATGCTTTTTCTCCTCTTCTATTTTTTTTTAAAAAACTGTGAGAAAAATAGATATTAACTCTTCTTTAAATGTTTGGTAGAATCCACCTGTGAAGCCTTCTGGTCCTGGACTTTCATTTGTTGAGAATTTTTGGATTACTGATTCGACTTCATTGCTGGTAATCAGTCTATTCAAATTTTCTATTTCTTCTTGTTTCAGTTTTGATAGGTTGTATATTTCTATGAATTTATCCATTTCTTCTAGGTTGACATATTATTTGTTTGGTATATTATCTTTCTTACTATTCTCTTACAAGTCTTTTATTTCTGTGGTGTTGGTTATTTCTTTTTCTTTTTTCCTTAATGAATTTGGCTGGAGGTTTATCAGTTTTGCTGATCTCTTCAAAGAACCAGGTCCTGATTTCATTGATCTGTTCCATTGTTTCTTTAGTTTCTATTTTATTTCAGCTCTATTCTTTATTATTTCCTTCTTCTAGATTTGGTTTTTGTTGGTTCTCTTTCTCTCTCTTTTAGGTGTAGGGTTAGGTTGTATGAGATGTTTTCTGCTTCTTAAGGGAGGCCTATTTTGCTATAAACTTCCCTTTTATTTTTTATTTATTTATTTATATATTTTTTACAAATAGTTTATTGTCAGCATGTGGCCAGTTAACAACACTATGTTGTATATTTAAAAATTTACTAACAGGGCAAATCTTATAGTAAGTGCTCTTACCACAACAGAAGATCCAATACAAACACACACACACACACACACACACACACACACATGAGGTCGGGAAGCAGTCTTTTGGAAATGATGAGTTAAGTGGTTGGTTGTGGTGATGTTCCACAGGTATATACTTATCTCCAAACTCATCAGGTTGTATGCATTAAATATCTATAGGTTTTTTTTTTTTAAACTTTTTTTTAAATATTTTTATTTATTTCTAGGAGAGAGAGAGAGAGAGAGCGTGAGCAGGGGAGGGTCAGAGAGAGAGGGAGACACAGACTCTGAAATAGGCTCCAGGCTCTGAGCTGGCAGTCAGCACAGAGCCCGACGTGGGGCTCGAACCCACGAACCGCGAGATCATGACCTGAGCGAAAGTCGGACGCTTAACCGACTAAGCCACCCAGGCGCCCCTATCTATAGGTTTTTGTATGTCAATTATACCTCAATAAAATGATTTAAAAAAAAAAACTTCCCTTTTAGAACTGCTTTTGCTACATCCCAAAGATTTTGGATTGTTGTGTTTTCATTTTCACTGGTCTCTAAGAATTTATTTTTTATTTCTTCTTTGATTTCTTGGTTGACGCAATCATTATTCACTTTCAATTGGTGAGATTTGCTTTGTGTCCTAATATGTGATCTCTTCTGGAGATTATTCAATATGCACTTGAAAAAAAATGTGTATTCTGCTGTTTTAGGGTAGAATGTCCAACTGGTCCAGTTATTCAAAGCTACTGTTTCCTTGTTGATTTTTTTGTTTGGATCTATCTACAAATGTAAGTGGAGTGTTAAAGTCCCTTACCATTATTGTATTACTATCAATTTCCTCTTTTATATTCATTACTAACTACTTTATATTTTTGGGTATTCTCATGTTGGGTGTATAAATATTTACAGTTGTTATATCTTATTGAATTGTTCCTTTTTTGAGTATATGCTGTCCTTCGTCTCTTGTTATAGTCTTTGTTTTAAAGTCTATATTGTCCAGTGTAAGTATTGGCTATCCTGGCTCCCTTTTCACTTTCATTTGCATGAGAAATGGTTTTCCACTCCTTCACTCTCAATCTGCAAATGTGTTACTAAAGTCTGAAATGAGTCTCTTATAGGCGGCATATAGAGGGGTCTTGTTTTATAATCCATTCTGTCACTCTAGGTCTTCTGATGAGAGTGTTTAGTCCATTTATATTCAAAGTAATTACTGACAGGTATGTACTTATTGCCATTTTATTTCTTGTTTATGGTTGATTTTGTAGTTCTTCTCTCTTTCTGCCCTTGCTCTCTTCTCTCATGGTTAGTGGGCTTTCATTAGTGATATATGTGGATTCACTTCTCTTTATTTTTTTCATACCTACTACTGGCTTTTGATTTGTGGTTACCATTAAGTTTGTATATAACACTTTATGCTTCTAGCAATCTATCTTAAGTTTTAATCCATTCTTTACTCTTCTCCCTATTTTATGTATACGGTGTCATACTTTACTTCTTTTTATTTTGTAAATCCCTTGACTGATTTTTGTAGATGTACTTAATTTTACTGCTTTTGTGCTCCCTACTTTTCTTACTCTCACTTATGGTCTTTTCTTCCCATTCAAAGTATCCCCTTTAATAACTCTTATAGGGCTGGCTTAGTGGTAATGAATTCCTTTAGCCTTTGCTTGTCTGGGAAACTCTCTTATGCTGAAGTGTAGCCTTGCTGCATAAAGTATTTTTGGCTGAAGGTTTTTTTTTTTTTTTTCAGCACTCTGAATATATCATGCCATTCCCTTCTGATCTGCAAAGTGTCTGCAAAAAATCTGGTTATAGCCTTATAGGGTTTCTCTTGTATATAACTGTCTTTTCTCTTGCTGCTCTTAAAGTTCTTTGTCACTCCTTTTTCTCATTTTAATTACTATGTGTCTTAGTAATTAAGACACTCTTAAAAATAGACAACTCTTTGGGTTGGTTTTGTTGGGGGCTCTGAGCGCCTCCTAGATCTGGATTTCTGTTTCCTTTCCCAGATTCGAGAAGTTTGCAGTTATTATTTCTTCAAATAAATTTTTTACCCTCCTTTCTCTTCTCCTTTTGAGATCCCTATAATGCAAATGTTATTACACTTGACGGTAAAGTGTCACTGAGTTCCCTAAGTCTATTTTCATTTATTATTTTTTGTCTCTCCTGTTCATATTGCTTGCTTTCCATTATTCTTTCCTCTGGGTTGCTAATCCATGCTTCTGCTTCCTCTAGTATACTATTTATTCCATCTAGGATATTTTTAATTTCAGTTATTGAGTTCTTCATCTCTGATTGGTTATGTTTTCTATATTTTTATTAAGGGTCTCACTGAAGTCATCTACTCTTTTCTCAAGTGCAGTGTGTATCTTTATGACCAGTAATTTAAATTCTCTATCAGACATGTTCATTATCTCCATTTCATTTAGCTCTCTTGTGATTTTGTCTCCTTCTTTCATGTGGGACATATCCCTGTCTTCTCATTTTGTCTAACTCTCTATGTCTGTTTCTATGTCTGTTAGGAAAGTCAGCGACACCTCCTGCTCTTGAAAGTACTGGTCTTAGGGGCACTGGGGTGGCTCAGTTGGTTAAACACCTGATTCTTAACTTTGGCTTAGGTCATGATCCCAGGGTCCTGGGATTGAGCCCATGTTAGACTCGATGCTGAGTGTAGAGCCTGCTTGGGATTCTCTTTCTCTCCCTCTGCCCCTCTCCATGTCCACAGTTTCCTCCCTCCTGCACAGTCCTGTGGGTCCGTTTAGCTCCCAACTGCATCTTCACCCTGCCTACCTTCTTTATGTGGCCTCTTCTCTACATTTAGCTTTGGAGAATCTGTTCTGCCAGTCTTTGAGTCATTTTCTGGGTTATTTACACTGATATGGGTGTTATCTAGTTGTATCTGAGACAAGGTGAGTCTAGTATTCTCTTATTCTGCCTGCTATCTTCCTTGGAATTAGGAAGTTTAACTTTTATGGCAAAAATTAAGCTTAAACATGAAAAACATTTTCCTCCAGTCAACCACATAATGAATTCATAAATTGTTTAATTTTTGTGTATGTATATACATAAAAACGATTTCTGTTATTATGCATATAAAAAAACCCTAGACATAAATTTGAGGAATTTTTTTAAAAAAGCATTTTGTTTAATTATATTTGGGAAAAATTTAATAATACTAGATTTATATAAATGAATACATGAAACAAAAATTCTTTAAAATGGAGCATTTATGATACTTAGCATGTATCCAAATTATTTAACACTGCCGCATGCAATGCATTCTGCTGAAACAACTAAGACGTCCTTTAAATTACGTATGTTATACAACTGTGACTATTTTAAGAAATGTGTTTTATCGAATGATGGGGAAATGACATTAAAATCCTCATTAACATATCTATTTTCCAAATTTTCAGTTATTATTTATACTAAGCTTATCCGACAAAAACCAGGACAAATGGGGTGCCTGGGTGGCTCAGTCAAGTGGGCCTCCAACTTTTGGTTTCAGCTCAGGTCATGCTCTCAGTTTGTGAGTTTGAGCCCTGCATTGCAGGCTCTGCACTGACAGCATGGAGCCTCCTTAAGATTCTCTCTCTCCCTCTCTCTCTGCCACTCCCCCAACTCTCTCTCTCTCTCAAAACAGTTGGATAAACTTTTAAAAAGTATACTAAAAATAGGACATAACTATTTTTTGTATAACTGAAAAACTTTTTTATATAATATTTTAGTTACTTTACAAATTAAAGAGTGTGTCATTTATCATACTATTGTTTGAATTATACAGAGGTATTAAAAGTTTTAAGTCACAGCATTCACCTTTAGATGTGAAATAAAGTAGTGGAAAATAACTCTGAGGACAACGTGTCTCACAATGATTTTGAACTTCACTGTTGAATCACTTTTTTAAAGTTTCTTTAAAGTAGCTATACTAAATCAAATGAAACTTTTACCAAATAGAAAATTATTTAAATTCTTACCTCTAATATCCCAGTCAACATGGGTTATGTAGCTGGTAGCGCCTTTGCATATTCCTACTCGTTTACTACTCATTACATTGTATATATCTATGAAACTGTCGTGGGATGCTACTGCAAGGTATTTCCCAGAACCTAGAATAGAAACATATTTGCTTGAGATTTTCTATCTTTAGAAATGTTTTTACACTCTATAACTAGACTTAATTTTCTTAACATTTTTTGGAAGAACTCTTAGGTGTTTTGTAAATTATAACAAAATGTGTATCAAATGACAAGTGGTAACTATATTTTTCAAGTATATGATGATTAACAGAACAATAGGTCATCGTTGGTAGTGAGATAGTTCAGTGGAAAGCAAAGGCCAAAAATTATATACAGTGTAATCTAATATGATGTATTTAACTAAAAAAAAAAAAAAAAAAGAAAAAACCCTCTATATGTAGAAAAAAAATGTAAGTAAAATAACAAGTAAATTTTGCTCTAACATTGGCAATTCCCACATTATAGTGAGTTTTGTCAGAGATAATGAATACACAGAAACTGATGAAGCAAAATTAATGCAAAATTTCAAAAGTATTAAGAACATAATGAAAATTGTCATCCAATCCCTTTTATGTTAGAAATGAGGAAACTCAAACTCAGAGTAAGTGCCTTGGCCCAAATGACATAGAAAATTTAGTGACAGATTTGGCACTAAGCCTGATATTTTGCCACTAATCTAATACAGGAATTTTACCTCTTACCATATTGTCTTTTCTAGTCAAAAAATTAAAATTCCAAGATAAAATAATGGTTAATAAAAATTACATATGGATATATTTGCTCATTGCCAGACTCAAGTTAATAATCAAATGTGATTTCAATGATATCTTACCTGGTGAAAATCGAATGTCTGAAATAATATCTTTCCTGTGATGAAAAGAAACAAGATCCTCTAGGGTATCTGCATTTGCCATTAAGAAACTTCCATCATTCAGACCTACAGCTAAAGCTTTACCATCAGGAGAAAAACAGCAACATCTCCCACCTAAGAGGGATAGAGAGCATTTATCAGGCGCTCTTCTTCTATTTAAAAAAATTATGTGCTTAAGGAACCTTTAATGTCAAAGAGAATTCCTGTATTCATTATGACCTCAAATCAATATTCAAAAGGAGTCAAAGGATGCAGGCAACAAAGTTTTCTACTAACATCAGTCATAATTAGGCAGTAATTAATACAAACTATTTTCTCTTCTGAACGTAACTAAAGTAAGTACTAACATTTATCTTAAAAAACTAACTTAACTAACATAAAAAGCCAATGACATATGTGGAAATGTTTTTTTGTAGGTAGTTGCTACCTCTGCAGTTTCTATTCAACAATCAGAAATTTAAGGGAAAAAAGGCCATCTTTGTAAATATGCTTTAAAATTTGAAAAAGATAACAATAAACAATTATTAGGTAAAGCTAGGAAGATCTATTAACGCATGAAGATCTAACCATGCATGAAGAAATAATGATGCTAATATTAATTTTTTAAAAATCGTGGTTAATATGTACTGGGAAATAAACAAAAATGGGCTTAGCATGACAGCAAGGAATACAGCAAACCTAGTCAAAAGCGCTAAGGCTTTTGCCATCTTGCATAAAATTTACAGATGGAGGGATGAGGCACAGCTGTTACAGAATGAAAACTTATAGAATGAATTAAGAACAAGTCATGTATTTATCATTTAATTATCAAGAATACACTGGTAAAGAAGAAATCTAGGATGATTTCTGAGATTTAGGAATAAGAGATGATGATGGTGGTCTGGAGCAGGGTAGCTACAGTGGAGGTGATAACAAAGGGCTGTAGACTTTGAAGACAGAGCTGGCAGGACTTTGAGAGTAAACAAGGAAAAAAGATAAAAGTCAAGGCTATTTCTTTTTGAATGATGATGTCATTCACCGAGATGGAAAAAACTAGCAGAGGTACGTGTGTTTGGTTTTCTACCCATGAAGTTAAGGATACCTATGAGAAATTCAAGTGAAGACATCAAGAAGCCAGTTTGATATAATTATACTTCTCTGGAGTTCAAGGGAGAGGCTGAACTAGAGATGTAAATATGGAAGACGCAGCACGTAGACAGTAGTCACAGTCATAAAACTGGGTAAGAGCTTGTTATTAATTTATTGTCTCTCAGCTCCAAATCCAACCTTTCTTTCCTGCTATATGATACTACAACTGGGCCTTGTTAACATTTTTTCCTTTTTCAGCTGACTTGATTTTAGCCAATAGAGGGTACTGTACTGGAGGGTCCCTATAAGGCCAAAGGAGGAGGAAGGGATTTTTCTTCCTCTGGTGTGCTGGAGCCAGTGGATTAGAATAATGAAGGGGTAAGGGTAGGTGCTGGGATGGGGGTGGGAATTGGAGATTTTCTCTGCCTCCATACCAACAGATTTCCTAGATCAGCCCTTTGGCAAGCTTCTTTTCCACTTGCATCCACATCCCCCTCCAAAGAGACCTGAATCTCAGCTTGGGAAAAAAGAAGGTCTCATTCCTTAATTACCATCCACTAGCCCTACAACCGGGAGCTGCTTTTTCCAGTTGTACCTCTCTACCCCTTAGAATACCACCTTTCATTAGTTAACACTGATTCATATTAAATTTTCCCTATTCCAATTACTGGGATGGTTTCTGTCTCTTGATTTATATAGGATCGATAGTGAAGTAGTCATAGGAGATAGATCACTAGAGATGGGATTTTTTGGAATTGGTTGTCAGGCCTTTGGGCTTAAGCACAGTGCTAAGCCCTTGCCAGTGGGAAACAGGATGTCAGTAATCCAAGGTATGCATCACCATAACCATCAAGTTATCTCCTATAGTTAATTGTCATTTTTACTGAAGTAAAATGCCCTGGGAGTCCAAGAGGCTGCTGCCTTTGGACCATCACAAAAATGATGATGACCACAAGGACTGTGCTGTGCAAAAGATTCCAAGTGCATGGAACATTTAACAGAAAGATGTAACATGCTCTGGTCCTTAAACCTTCAGCACCTGTCGCGGTCTGAATAGAAAGAGCTTCCACAGCAGACCTAAAAGAATCTATGATAGGGCTGATGTTGCTGAAAATTAAATACAAAATTTAATTGTGCAGGTTGCAAATTTATAATGTCAGTTGAATTCCCAGATTCACCAAATTTCTTCTGATTGGGAAGACAGAAATTTGGATCGTGGAATGAGAGCATCAGCTAGATTCAGACAAAACTGAAAATTCTGAACCTCTGTATTATTCAGTCTCACGGCCAGTGCATAGTTTGCTCTCCTGTGTCTGGGAAGATTGGCCTTCTTGGGCAGAGGCCTTGCAGTGGATATTTAACCTTAAGAACAACCATCACAACCACTTCTTTGCTGTCTAGAGAAGATCCCTAACTTGGATCAAATCTCAGCGTGTTCTAAGGCAGAGGTTGGTGAACTTTTTCTTAAAGGGCCAGACAGTAAATATTTTCAGCATTGCAGGCCATACGGTCTCTGTCACAAGTAATCAACTCTGCTATTGTAGTCCCAAAGCAGATCTAGGCAATAAATAAATGAATGGACATGGTTGTGTTCCAATACCATTTAGGCAATCAGGAGGTAGGCTGGATATGCTGACCTGATAGAGAGAAAAGAATTAAAAAGCTTAGGGAGGTAAGAATGTTGAAGTAGATTTTTCATTGCAACATGTATTCCGCCCACCACCTAAAAAGTCTAGAAAACAGTCCCTTCACAAAAGCATTGAGAAATACATTAATTAAGGGCAACATCTACATCCTTGAAAATCTCTGTGATGTCCTCCTATGTAGATTAGGAATGAGAGCTGTCCCCATTAATATGGGCTCCCTGATTCAATAGGGACAACCTCGGAAATGCAGAAGCCAAGTAGTAGCACTAGATTCTTTACCAAAAATGGCAGCAGGAATGTACTAATAATCAGAGTGTTTTGGTCTGTGGAGATTTCTGTTGGTGACTAATCAATCATGGTGTCTGCAGGAATTAAAGAGGTGAGTAGGCTACTAACTTGGTGTTTGATCTATATGACAGAAAAAACTCCAGACCTGGTGGCTTTTTAAACCTGACTTAAATTACCATAATGGAGAGTCATAGATTCTCAGCTTGTTTTCAGACGAAGATCAATTCATATGCTCAGAGCCCCTTCATTAAAGGGAAGGCTAAGTCCCCCTGAGGAGGACCCTGTAGCAATGCTGTCGTATATAAAGTAAATCTTCCTCCAACAATCCATGGCCACAAATGATTATTTCCAAGAAGGAAATACCCATACTTTCAGGAGTTAGTAAACAGGGGTTCTGAACTGATGCTAATTCTGTGGATTCCAGCCAGTTCCTGAATTGTAAAAGATATATTTGGCAACCTATAGAATCCACTAGGCTGGCTCTGTGATCCACGGGTAAATCATTACAACAGGAAGAAAAAAGTGAAAACCCCTCGAAAGTTCTCTGTCAAGACAATAAATCAGAAGTGAAACTTCAAGCCTGAGAATCACAAAATTAGGAAGATCAATGATACTACCAAAGACTTGAAAAATGCAGTGTAAGAATACCTATCACATTTAAGCTGGTCTGTGTGAAATAAGATGGATTTTAGAAACTACCTATGGATAATAAATTTAATCAGGTAGCAATGATAACTGAAGCTACTCTTCTAGATCTTAACCAGAAAAAATAAACACAACGCCTAGCATTTTGCATGCAGCTAGTGCCCTGGTTAATGCTTTTTTTTTTTTTTTTTCTCCTCCATCCCAATTTGTAAGGACCATCAGAGCAGTCTGCTTTTACGTGGCTTGTATCTGTGTATACCTTCAAAGCCTTGCCTCAGGCTATTCAACTCTCTTGGTTGTTTTTTGTTTTTTTTTTTTTTTTTTTGCCATAATATAGTCCACAGAGATCCTGATCGTCTGGACATTCCACAAAAAGTCTCAATGGTCCACTACATTGATGACATTATGCAGAATGGATCTGGGGAATAGGAAGCAACAAGTACTTAGAAGACCTAAGTGAATCAAGAGAGTGGAAGATAATTCCTACACAAATTAAGGGATCTGTCATCTCAGTGAAGCTTCCGGAGATCCAGTGATCGGGAGCACATTAAGATATTTCCTTCAAGGTGAGAAACAAGTTGCTACACTTTCCGTCACCTACTACAAACAAAAGGAGCTAAATGCCTGGTATGCCTTTTTGGAAGCCTACACCACATTTGAGTGAGCTGTTTCTAACCATCTATCAAGTCACTATAAGGCTTCACAGGGCCAGAACAAGAGAAGGCAAGCTGATCTTTGAATATCTAATGATATTCACACTGTCCGTGGTAAACAGGGATGCTGTAACGAAGCCTCTGGAAAGCTACCAAGGGAGAATTATACTACAGATTTCTTAGATTTGGGAGAAAACTCCTATCTCCTTTACAGACAACTATTTTCCTTTTGAGAAGGAGTTTCAGCCTTGCTACTAGGCCTTGGTAGATAGTAAATGCCTAACTACGGGATATCCAGTGACGGTATATCTTAAATTTCCTAACATGAACCAAAAGTTACATGACTAACCTAGTCACAGATTGTGTATACACAACAGCAATCTATCATCAATGGAAAAAGGATATATCCATCAAATGGATATAAAAGATGAGTCTTGGATAGATTTGGCAGTTAGAAGTAATTCCACCAATAATTCCTGCTGCAATACCTCGTCTCTATCTATACCTATGGCCTCAAAGGTATTCACTGATGATCAGCTGACTGAGGAAGAAAAACATTGAGCCAGATTTATAGAAGTTTCTATGCAGTATATGTAAGTACCCACCTGAAGGCAGTAGAGCCCTCCTGGCCATGGCCCTGAGGGACAGCAGTGAAGCAACATTTCACAACAGGCAGCACTTTGAGCAGGTACATTTGGTTTTCCACATTTGTAATGAGAGATGCCAAGACAGACTGATTTACATGGACTCATTAACAATTGTGAACTATCTGAATGATGAGTTAGGGACTGGATTGTTTCAGGATGAGAAGATT